CCAAGAGTTAGTACCAGTCGAATAAATTATAGAATACCCCGACTCACTTGCGTGACGTAACAAAAATCGCTCGTTCCAGTTTCCTTTGAACACGGACGCGTGCCAACAAAAAGCCCACATTTTGGGTGTTCAAACGGCTCTAAAATGTTTTCGTTTCAATGAAATAAAAAAATTCTTTCACCAAAACACTCCACATAATGTGTACTTTCAATACACAAAAAATCAATTTTTGTGTCAGGGGCACTTTAATATAAACTTGTAGTGAAATATGAACGGATACAGTACGTTGTATATATATAGCGTTCACTGATAATGCTGTGTATATAGAGTTCAATGATATTGCTACATGATGATTCTGTAAATTAAAATCCCGAGCCCACGCTACTAATTTTCAGAGGAAGGACCTTCGAATTCGGTCAAAAAGTCGAAGTTCTTTTTGCGTGTATTTTTCAGGTAGTTGAATTTTCTACATATAAGGCCCGTTTACAATTGCAATTTTTGCTGCGAATTTCTAGTGGGATTTTCTTGTTCTGCTGCATGTGAACGAGTAGATGAGTAACTAATGTTCCGAATACATGTACGGTGATGTACCCTCATCTGAACATTCATAACTTATCCACTCGTTCACATCCATCAATTCAGAAGAAGAAAATCAAAACTAAAATCGCAGCAAAAATTGCAAATGTAAACGAGCCTAAACAGTACTCACAAATACTTGTTGCCCGTACACGTACCGTTTTCATCCAAACAGTGCCCTAAATTATGCCTAAAGCTCTTGTACGAGTTACAATTTCTACAAGTTTAACGATTTCCCTGCAATTTCACTGTTTATGAAATCAAAATCTGTTTACAATCCGTGATGCGCATTTTGCCATCTTCTGTTACTGAATGACGTCTGGAAATCTAATACAGTAAGCTTAAGCCTAGTAAGCAAGCAACGTTTTTGTCAACACGGACGTCATCCAAAAATTATTATCACTAATATTGGAGGCACTTTGCATCATAGCGTTCATGTAAGGAAGCAACACTGTAAACGGCCCTGTAAAAACCTTATGTTTTGTCATATGTGTTGAAGATTACCACAAACTGACAGAAACACAGTTTTTAATCCAGTCTCCCTTCGGCATCTGACGTCCGTGTTGACAGAAACGTCGCTTGTTTATAGCTCCCTAATGACGTCAACAATACCTCGGGGTCAGAGAGATCTTTTTGTTTTTACACGGAAGACTAAGCGACCAAAATGGCAGTCAGTATGTTTTCTCTTTCGTTGCGCAGAGTACTGATCCTTGCTTTAGTTGTATGCTTCAAGCATCGCGGTGGGTCACATCAGTTGTTTGGTGAGAAATTTGTTTTCAGCGACAAGACAGCGTATCATTTCTTGAGCAAAACCAATTCTAGACCTGAGAAATATGATCCAGTGTATATCAACATGGTTGTCAGACATGGTTCAAGATATCCTTCAAAATACCGGGTAGTAAGGATGGGCACAATTTTTAAACGGTTAAATGCATTCTTTCCTGTGAATAAAACGGACAATACGACATTCCGTTACAAAGGACTTTCACTTCCTTGGAGCATCCCTGCAGATGTTAAAAATTCCGCGAGTAAAGAACTTTCCAGATTAGGCGCTCAAGAGATGTACTGGATAGCGAAGCGCATACGCGCAAAGTTCCCTGAGCTATTCAAGCATGGTTATTCTAATACTAAGTACAGTTTTATAGCCACAGATAAGTTAAGATCTAGCCAGAGTGCGGTTGCATTTGCGCAAGGTATTTTTGAGCAACAAGGTCCTGTTGGACTCGCAAAATATCAGCCAATAGCCGTTAGGTTCTCGGGTCCTGCTGATCAAGACCGGGTTCTACGTATTTATGAAGCTTGTCCTAAGTGGAAGAAAGTACACGCAAAATTATCTGACTCTGAATACGCAAAGTTCATTCGAGGTCCGCAAGTGCGAAATGTGACTGAGAATATTTGCAGCAGATTAAATCTGAAGAATAAAGCAAAACTTACCCCTAAAATTGTTGTCGAAATGTTTCTAATGTGCGCATTTGGTACTCAGACAGATAGCAATGATGTCAGTCTGTGTTCGTTATTTGAAGACGAAGATTTAAAAGTTCTGGAGTACCTAAATGATCTGAAAATCTACTGGAGTTACAGCTATGGACGGAAAATTAATTACAGAATGGCATGCCCACTTTATATGAAAATAACGGAAGGTTTTCAACAGTATATTCGCAATGGCAAACCTTATGGTGTGTTTCAGTTTGCTCACACAGGAACAGTTCTTCCTCTTCTCACTTTGCTGGGATTGTATAAGGACAACCTAGCGTTACGCGCTGACAACTTTGATAAGCAAACCAATCGAACATTTCGTCCTTCAAATATTGTTCCAATGTCGGCAAATGTCGCATTTGTTCTGTATGAACGCACGAGCAAGAACACGAATCATTCACAAAACGGAGGCATGAGACCAAAACGTAAAGTATCCAGAATGGTGATCCAAGTGCTAGTAAATGAAGTTGCTGTCGACTTACCCGCATGCCAGGGCAAGACATATTGTCGTCTCAAGAAATTCCTTGATTATTATTCTTACATCAGAAAGACATGTAATATCAACAGGATTTGTGGCCGACTTCGCGGAAATTGCCGGAAACCCAGCAGAAAAGGAAAACGCTGACTGACTACTTAATATTAAAGTGACTTTAATATTATTAATATAGACTTCTTATATATATATTACTCTATTTGGATAATTTGTTTGATGTCACATGTTTACTGAACAAAAATTTACGTTTCAATATTTGAAAATTTAATAGAATTTAATAGATAACATATGTAGCTATTATTTCCCCCCCAATTTTATTATATTCCTGTTACTGTATTCTGTTGTGATCTATCTAAATCCATAGTTTTCTAAAATTGTATTATCTTCTGTTGTTTTCTCTCGCATCATTCCTCATTTACGACACCAATCAACGGGACTATTTAGGTATTAAAACAAAAACGACTATTTTTACTTGTAAAAGTCGTATAGTACAAGTTTAAGTACTTTACCCTTGTGAGGTTAACAGGAAACCGGGTTTCCTGATATATGAGAAATTTTAAGGGTGTGTTGATCAATTTCTATTGTGGTCAATCATGTTGTACCTAATGTACTATATTTCCCAAAACATGCATATAAATTTATTTATTTTGATTTATTTTGTCTTTTTTAAGTTTTCACTAAGAATCAGTGAAGAATCGTGGATTACGCAAGAGATTTCATTGGATGCAGTTTCTCCTTTTATTTGCTTCCATACACAGGTGCGTTTGACTATGCATTTATACCAGAGCGGGATTTGAATTTGCATATTCGCTAGAGTCGAGAGTAATAAGTATATATTGGATGCATGTTCCCTGATGTATAAATGAAACCACGTGTCTGATCAATATGTCCGTTCTACCCAGTGGAAACCAGTGGGCATAAAAGCATCCCTTCTACTTGGTATCTGTAACTGTATCTGTAGACTAGTACTTTTAACTTTCAACTCTATTGGTATGTCCTTTTTAGGTTGAATGGCATGAAAACAGAAAATTTTTGAAAGTTGAATTTCCAGTAAATGTTCGCTCACCAAATGCGACGTACGAAATTCAATTTGGACATCTTCAAAGACCTACGCATTTTAATACCAGTTGGGATTGGGCTCGTTATGAGGTACTCTATCACGTACTTTTCACAAAACGCGCATTGACATTAATGGTAATGATAATTATAGAAATCGAGTGCATGCAAGTTATAAAGTTGCAACTTTCATTTATAATGGCGTGGTTTTATTGTTCGAGACTACCTGTAACTGAATACTCTTAGGCCCGTTTCAAACGTCGTGCTTCTCATGTGCCGAACGCATTGAAAACAATAGATAATCAGTTGAGAAACCTCATTATCTATTGTTGTTAATGCGTTCGGCATGACGTTTGAAACGGGGCTTAGTCGTTTCGATTAAGGGCCTTCACCATGCAGTAAAATGCGGATTACTTGCTTATCGTTATAGGTGTGTGGTCAAAAGTGGTTTAACCTCTCTGAACATAACTGGGGATGTAGCATCATGAACAACAACAAGTATGGATTTTCTACCCGAGGCAACATAATGAGCATTTCCCTGTAAGTACGCAAGACAGTTGTTTATAAGATTTATTAGCATCAATTTCGTTTAGTGAATTTGTGAAAAATGCAAATTACTCGTCAAGCAATTACCCAAGATATATACAATCTGTACACAAGCTAATTGGTTGGGACTAATAGACTAAGAAACAGTTTAATACAAGTAAAACGTGGACGTTTCGAGCGAAGGCCCTTCCTCGGAAGGCTTTTGCTCGAAACGTCAAATTTTTACTTGTATTTTCAGGTAGTTGAACCACTAACAATCCTCAGTTTCCTGGGGGCCGGTTGTTCAAACCCTGGGGGCCAGTTGTTAGCTTAACCCTGCATGGGTTAATGTGAAATTCAAAGCATACTTCCCAGCAGTTTGTTTGTAAATTTGGAAATATTTTTTAGAAATCTTGTCTCGATCATCAGAAGTTTAATTTTCTAAAGTTTTGAAATAAACAGACGTACAGATATACATAAACCAAAGCAATGGGTTAAATTTAACCCAGGGTTAGCGGTAATCCTGCTTTGAACAACCGGTCCCTTGTGTTTTTGTCACTACCTACATTGGCACAGACCGTTCCAATTAAGTATTATAAGTTCAGCCGAATAATAACGTTTGTTTTCTACTAGCTTGCGTGCCCCTAAATCCCCGGATAACGAAGCTGATATGGGAAGCCATGATTTCAAATATGCAGTCTTTCCTCATACAGGTAACCTAGTGTTTCATAAATTTCCTATACAGTACTTTCATCTTTTTTATCAAAACGAACCAGCATTCGGCATATATATGCAAGTATACTACTCGCAACATTTCCTGCACTTGGTCAAGAATCCCCAAGAAACACTGAATTTAAAAATCTGCATTAATTAACACTACCAGTTCGAGACATTTGAAAATATAAATTTAAGATTCAAAGCAAAATTTCGCAATAAAAGAATAGATGCTCCACATATTATGTTGCAACAAAGTAGCCTACTCTTTTATGGGCGAATTCCAATGTGAAGGGAGACACATTAGACATTTTGCATTGTATCTGTTGTAGGAAACTTCCAGGATTCGGGATTAATACAACATTCGTACAACTTCAATAACAAAATCAGAGTGGTTCCTGCAAATGTTTGTAATAGTAAGTTTTATTTTGATTTGATATTTACTGTATAATAAGTGAAGAAGTACGATCAAGCACCACAAGTTCCTACAATGACAATCCATAGCCGATACCACCTGTTCTACCAGCCTGGTTTCCATATGATCGTTACGATCGCTGCAATAATTACGACCGCTATAAAAATTTACCATTGACCGTAACGATCGTTCGTTCATTTCCGTATGATCGCTTCACTTTTTGCGCGCATATGATGTAAGAGAGCTGGGAAAAGTTTATGGCGCGAAAGTTTAAAAATGTCAGCAATAAACGAGCGTCAGCTTGGTTCCTCAACATATTGCGAATTTTTAGACGACGACGACAGAAGCAGAAATTACGGAGAAAGCATAGGTTACGATCGTTGAACTTTCGTTTCCATATGTTTGCTGGGGTCGGTAAGATCGCTGAGATAGAAATTTTTCTGTCTCGGCGATCACGATCGTTACGATCATTGCGGTCGCTGCGATCGCCAACTAATTGATTTCCATATAATCACTACGATCGCTGGTGCATTTTTTCAGCAATCGTAATGATTGAAGCGATCGTAACGATCGTATGGAAACTAGGATTTAGAGATATTTTCTTCAAAAAATACAACAAACGTATTTTTGAGTATCATTATTACTAGATTACATTGATATCGAAGGGACTAGATTCTGTTCCGACCATATCACATACTCGAACCGACCAGACCGCGTAGCTCAGTTGGTAGAGCATTGGGCTAGTATTCCAAAGGTCGTAGGTTCGATTCCCAACGTGGTCAGGCATATTTTTCAAGCTTACCCGGTGTGGATATACACTCAGAGTAACATCAGAAGCATCTTATTTACCTGCATGAGTACATTGCACCAACACAGAAAATATCATTATTACTAGATTACATTGATATCGAAGGGACTAGATTCTGTTCCGAAATATCACATACTCGAACCGACCAGACCGCGTAGCTCAGTTGGTAGAGCATTGGGCTAGTATTCCAAAGGTCGTAGGTTCGATTCCCAACGTGGTCAGGCATATTTTTCAAGCTTGCCCGGTGTGGATATACACTCAGAGTAACATCACAAGCAACCTTATATGACGTTGTTTAGAGATGATATATATTTATTCATCGTTGTTTTATATTTTTAGAGGTGAAGCCTGTTTCATTTTTTCAACTCACGAATGAGGCCATCGTTTTGGAAACTGTCAAAAAGGTTTGTGTGTTATTACATTTTGTTGTTATTGCCAATTTCCACATCAAAATTCAGAGTTTAGCCTACATCGGTTGTTATCCCCTTATATAACTAACTGAATATAACTGTACCATGAGGTTTAGAGTGTATTTTTGTATATATGCAATTATTCGGAACACATTCTGCCAGTGTGTGTTCACTAGACGCAGTAAAAGGCCAAATCTGAAAAATTTCGAAATTTCCATCCACAAAATCCTTCAACATTAGTTGAATCGAGTAAAATGCCCCAAACCCCGATATTTATCCATATACATATACCCTACCATGACATCACCTTTAGTTAGTATTTACACATGAACTTGTGGTTGTAGAGCTGGACAACCGGACGTTGTGGCTCTGTTGGATAAAGCACTGCACAGGGTCGCTGATTCGATTCCTGCATGCAGAGGGCCTATATATAGTTGCATTTTTCGCAGCTTCCCCTGGTTAGGTTTAAAGGCCTGTTTAAACGGATGCAACATTGTCCAACATTTTTTTTTTTTTAACAGCTTTATTAGGAACTAAATATATTACGTTAATAAGGTACAAATACAACAAACATGCAGTTCCTAAACGGGAAAATAGCGAACGGGCCATAATAGCCCATGCGAGGCTACCTCCCGATTTGACTTCTGTCGACATTTACATAAAATTAAAAATTTAAAATCGTTGAAAGCACGTTTACACGCATTCACGCCAAAGTGATAGGACCTATGTTAAAATAATTATTTGTAAGCCAGATAAAACGTCATTTGGTGGCATCAATCATAAAAGAGGTACCCCGACCGGTCGTAACGCGTAAACGTGCTTTAACTCCTGTGACAAGCACAATCTCTAACAACTGACCAAGTACATGTCAAATTTGCATCAAAAACATTCACTAAAAGTTCATTATAATGACTGATTAAGAACGTTTTAAAAGTGGTGACACTAGTAAAGCTGCTACATGTGGCAACTTTGCATATTGAGTTCCATATCTTTACAATTCGATTAATTAATTCGATTACATTGCAGTGGACCAACAATGTTGGGTGATGTTGGTACAACATGTTGCATCTGCCATCTGTTTAAACAGGCCTTTGTAATAAATGCATAAATTTACACTCGAAATTTCCATCTACAAAATCTTTCAACATTAGTGGAATAAGATGCCCAAAAATCACGATATTTTAATAAAAGTATCAGGCTATTTAGCCAACCTCGTCCCCAGGTGTTTAGCAGCTCGTTTGTTTTGGGCGACGTTACTTTTGGAAGGCTGCTATTATGCACGCGGGGGTGTTGAAATACGATATGACGTTACTTTTGGTATTCTATGTTATTTGTGTCTGTATGTGTCTGTTCTTCCATTTCAAGGCTGAAAATGAAGTTGATGCTTTGGTTTTGAGAGCGTATGAATCTTTTGGCGGGCACAACTCCACACGTATTGTATCACAATTTGGTATTTCCAAGGTTCAGAGGTACAGCGCTTACCGTAACTATAGTGCCATTCATTGTTTTTTCGTAACTATAGTGCCATTCATTCTCCCACTGTTTTCCATGCCATCCAGTCGCCGATTGTTTTTACTTGTGTTTGCATTTATGGAAGCGGTCTAATAGTATTTGAAATTACAAGTTGTTGACTCGTATATAATTATTATACACCATAACCCCCCTAACAAGCCAGGGTATGAGCCTGCTAATCATGCACGTTTGAAATGGTCAAATGCGTTAATGAAGATACACGACAGTTGTTGCTTACCAGTCAAAAAGGCCTCAGGACAAAACGTTCTCGAATCCAAAGAAGACCGACCTATGTTACACGGAGATTTTCAAACTTTAGATATATTATATTCTAATTATGTTAATTAGGTCAACTTAGTTGAATGTTTTAAAACATGGAGAGATGAATACGCGAAGCATGAGTTAATACACGTTTAATGGTTAATATGTGTGGTTTGAATTGGTTTTGAATTTTGATGCTGTAAATGGAGAATGAGCAAGAATATATTGGCAAAACTTTATCTGCCTATTTTGCTTTGAACGAATTACTCTTGAGAAAAATGCAAGAAATTTCATATAAACATGCACTCGCTCATAAGGAAGATTATTGATTGAAGCCTCTATTTCCAATCATGAATGATCTTGCAATCTATTTCGATGCAAAAATTTTAAATATAGTAACAGAGAACCCGTAGGTTACTTCTTGCTCGGCGCGCGGGAAAGCATGCATGAGTCCCTTTCACCTCGATATATTTGGTAATAGCGAGCTTAAACATGTAGGACGGCAACGTCGACGACGGCCAAAACAAATTCCTTCAAATATAAATGATAGTAAAGAAAACTTGTCGTATATTATAATTCGTATGAATTTAATACAGTATAAGAAGTTGAAAACATTGGCTTTATGTTTGGGAAGAGTTCTACTGAACCGAATTTTAAGTTGCACTTAAATGCAGGCGCTGTGAGTTGCCGTTGTAAACAGAGCGACGACTACGCCTGAAACTCCCCTGGGACTTTAATTATTTATTCTTTTCATTGACTCATTGCATTGCAGTGGTTGCCGTCGTGTTGCCGTCCTACATGCTTAAGCTCCCTATTGATTACAAATACGGTGACGCCGGTAAAATATTTGTCTCGGTTTTGAGCATAATTTCTTTTGAACTTGTAAAGAATCATATACGGTAATGAATGGCATCACAGGTGCAGGTGCACACAGTTAAATGCGTCGTAAGCATTTTTATATAATAACTACAGTGAAACACGCAATTTGATTGGTTAATAGCCGTGCAGGATCAGGCTATCCTGCACGAGGAATTAAAATGCCTTCGCGGGATTTTCGCGGGATTCACAAAATGTCATTGTTTCACTGTAGTTATTTTATAAAACAATTACCAAATGGTTGTCCAAGCAGGATAGCGTGATCCATGCACTTGGGATGTTGCTCGACTTTCGGAAAGCGTAAAAATACACTCGCCTGCGGCTCGAGTATTTTTACGCTTTCCGAAAGTCTCGCGACATCCCTCGTGCATGGATCACGCAATCCTGCACGGAAAACCATTCGGTATTCCTTTAATCATGTTATACATACAAATCTTGAAAGGTCTGTGCCAGTGTAAGTATATACTGCCAATAATAAGAAAGCTTCGGATAGATAAGGATGCAACTACTTGAAAAATACAAGGAGAACTTCGTTGTTTCGAGTGAATACTCTCAGTATAGCTAACTTAATAAGGTGTATGGACATAATCATACTTGAAATTATTTAATTGTGTGTTGTAAGCACTTTTATAATAAAATATATGGCATTTTAAGGTGTGATCTCTTGGAGCGGCCTCAAGAAGAATTGCCTTGGAAGGATGATGGTCTAGAACTGGAATTTAAACCTTTTGAAATTATTACATTAATTTGTTTCTTATCAAATACCTAAACTCACCATCATATAAATTATAAAATTTAGATATAAATTTAAAATGCATTATACACGATTTCCAGTAAAAATTACAACTAGCTTATAACTCTAATTTCAAAGTATAAAGTTGAACGTTATCCATGCCAATGTTGGTCGAGTCCGAGATATAGAAGTGTAACATGTAGACCTTTCGGAAACTTGAAAAATTGAAGTAATTATACTCATCAATAAGTTGGTCATTTACTGAACATGACGTAATATACTAAAATTATGAAATACCGGTAAGGTCCAACACGTAATAAATTGTGAAATTATTATCGACTTGTTATAATATTATAATACTAATTATATTTCAAAATATTATACAACCGTGGAAGTTTTTTGCTTGCAGGATTAACTCAAACCTTTTCGAGTGCTAACTAGTGAATGCATGTACAGTCATTTTTAAACAGGGGCAGTTGCTAAAATTGCAACTATACCTCTGGCAGGTCTAAAAATATATATAAATTTCCGTTCGAAAATTCCATTTGAAATTCCATCTATACTGTATATAAAACCAGTCTATCAGTTCTTTCGAACGAGATGCCCCAAATCGCGATATTTATCCATACCCCTTTAACTGGCCTCAACGTGCTATAGATACATCAACAAGCACGTGGTTAATGCTCAGCAACTGGTTCTGTCTGTAGCTACTCCGTAGGTTGAAGTACTTACTTTTCCATCTCTATACGTGCATGCATATACTGCAATACGGTCGTCATTGGTCAGACATAACGTATTTGGTAAAATGTCATCACCAGAGATCCGAGAAGAATTAAAGACAACGCTTTTATTTTGATCATTCAAGGTACTGTGTTTGTTCAATGTAAACCATATAAGACTGATTGCATCTGGTATAGATTGCTTGCGAAGTTGCGAACATCTTAAGACTTCTAGTGGTTTACAATGGTATAATGTATTTTCATCGTTGGTATTTCATACCCAACACGTCCGTATATGAGAGCTATACATATTATTTGTTATACCCTAGGTTTCACCTGCAAATAATTCTCTAAAACCGGGTTTATCTAGCTGAGAATTTCATAAAAAGGAAGGACTGGGTACGAGTCAGATCATGATGTATTGATATTTTGCGTGTTAATGCTGCCTCGTACCCAGGCGCTGTGTCCTTTGCGTGGGCCGCGTGGATTAATTTGATGGATTTTGATGACGTAAACAAACCAAAGCGCCTGGGTACGAGGCAGGTGTTAATGCTTTCTCGTTCCCAGTTGGGCTTCTCGACTGACGTCAGGTCACGCAGTCAGCCAAAAAGCCCTGGGAACGAGGATGGTATATTCAAGACATTTCATCAGGCGTTTATAACCGGACAGGAGAGTGGTCATTAGTTTCTTATTAAATATATATATTAAATATATTGAATCGTTCTTGGTGGGATGCGTATTGTGTGCGTAGGTGATTTGCACACCCACATTCCACGCACAAACACGAATTATCTAATTGCGGTATTTGTAAGACTTTCATAAGATTAACGGGGGACTGTTTTACAACTATAATTCTGAAATAACACATATATTTAACGTTTCTACTATCGGAAGAATGATGCAAACTAAAACATGCGAATATAAAAGTTCATTTTCCGATTTTCGGAAAAAATCATGTATATAGTATATACTCATGAGTACTCAGAAGTATCAGTAATTTTTGGTCAACTGTTTTCTTTGCACACATCAAAACCAGGAAATATGACAAGTCTACTTTTGAATTTTGAAAGATATCTGTATTCCAAGTTCTTAGTTTCAAAAGTCCTTTATAAAACAAAGAAATTACTGGCTTCAGCGTAAGTCAATTCTTTATCAATTATATTTCCTGCATAAATGAATATATTACGGACGAGATATTGAAGCGGAACGAATAACAATATCTTGACAATATCTCAAGAGACATTTATAGTCGCATCATCTCACGGTAAAAATGAAGTAAAAAGCCAAACGTGACTAAGTGTGATCTAATATGGTTTCTTTAACAATAGGATTGTTAATATTATGTGTCTATGGACCATTGCTGAAGCCTATTGATGCTGCTCCTGTGCAAGAAGAAGGTATGTGTAGACGGAAATTAACATTATAAAGACGTAACATTTGTTGTGACTTTTGACTCTGTTTATATCTACAGTCTGGTATTTTGACTTGATCACACTGTTACTATCTACCTGTTCATTCCCAAAGCAGAGTGATCATGTTCAAGAGTCACAAGTAAAACGAAAACTATAAGTGATCTCTGAAACACCTGATGTATAGTAATATAACGACGTTTGATTTTATGCTAATCTTTGTGAGTTTTGTCTATACATGAGAATATAAGTCTCTATGATTAGTTCGTTCGGTATTTCCATTTATAGTTCATCATCAATATAAGGTCTTAAGGACTATAAAACTAGCGGTATATATCGTTGAAAAACAGTGTATATAATGTTTCAAGTATGTATAAGCGGTACGATCATTATTTATTAACTGAGTTTTTGCCTTCGCCCCCATATTGCGGTAATCATTATCATGGTCATGGATCTCGTTGTCCTGTAAAATTGACTGACGAGTTGTTTTATTATTTTCCCTTATTCTTGCTTTCCTTTCGCTGCAATGTTTGGTTATCGAACTTTGTAGTCAGAAATTGGTAATGAATCTGAAGAGTAAAGTTCACGGCTTAATGATCAGTTTAAGCTTGAAGCAAATATAATATTTAGATAAAATGCCGTCTCCGTTTTGTCACACATCATTAGCAAGTCATGCTTGTTCCTCGAATTGTGGAATATATATTATGATATATTATGAGTATATTTTTTAGTATATCTCTAGAAAATGGGGGATTAGCCTACATGCATGCCATGGTTGCCTTGCATGGACTAGTTTAGCCAGTCATGGCATGATTGCCTTGGACTAGTTTAGATGTTATATATTATATATCATATATAGCCAACGGATAGCATGGTTTAAGGTCGGGATTGCTCAAAAATTCAGATTTTGCATGATTTTGAGGTTTATACTGCATACCAGTTTTGACAACAAGGATTAGGGAATATGAATATTATATACGTACAATACTGTATGAATCTATTAACACCTTTTGCATTCAAAACAAAGCGCGCTGTTCAGAAAAAATTAAAATTTGCAGGCGGAATATTCATGTAAAGTAAACCAATTTTTGACGATGGCTGAAACGTGAACTGAATACGAAGTCTATAAGCGATTATTCATGACTTAAGACTTACTTCGCGATCGATTACGATAACGATTTCGTAAACGACGAAACCAAATCAAGCAGATGTATACTGGATAGATTTCTTTCCTTCATCGCGGCATTTTGCCTGTCTTATTATTAATGTATATCGTCAGCTGTGTTTATTTTCATGACTTTCAAATTAATGTAAGTTGAGTGTGTAGAACGAGGTCATGAAAAGGAATATTTAATTATGTTCTTTTTAATATATGCCACGACATTCGTGTATTCACTCCAAGATCAGCTTTATATTATAAGTATAACCATTCCGAGTTTAATTTACCCCCTCAACACAGCTGCATGTGGATAGTGAAAGATACAGCTGTAGAACCTATCTGAAAAATACACGCTGAACTTCGACGTTTCGTTTCTTCGTTCGTTTAGAATTATAAAGTCTCTTTAACTGAATTTTCCTCAGTCGTGGCTATACATGATTGGTTACCAAAACGGACATTTTCAGCAAACTCGTTATGCATTTTGTGACGTAGAAACCTTGACATCAAAATAATCTGAAATATCGTGAAAACGAAGCAACGGAACGAAAAACTGCAAAAGAAGTTTCTCTCTATAGTTTCCATAGTTCTTTTAAATAAGACAATAAGAATTTTCGTTTTATGTGCGATTTAACAAAGATTCTTTGCCTTAATTGAAAGAAGCATGCATGGTAAAAAAACTATATTAAGCCAAACAATTCCTGGTTGCTAAGAATCTCCAACGCCTTCAAAAAATGTCATGCAATATTAGCTACTTGGCCTATACTTGCTTTACTTTGCAGTGAGTGATTTATACTGTACATTCTTGTTGGTAATTAGGACATGTAAGGGGGGGAATTCCACTGTAATAATATATACCCCATGAAGTTCCCATATATGAAAATTTGTGAGTGTATTCACACCCCTATATACCATAGTTTTTTAATTAAATTTCATCCCAAATAAAACTTTCTCAGTATTCAGTGGCGGAAAATATTTTACTGTTGACGAACATTATTAGCCAATAATGTTGATATTGAAAACAAGTTAGGGATAATGAACATTAAGAGCCGGTGATATTTTTAAAAAATTGTATAAGATGTCTATTATTTTATTGATAACAAAAAAATTCAATAAACTCTTCTTGTCACAACATCTTATATCAACAATACATATACTACCTTGTAAATCGTTTAAACTTTGTCGAAAACACTACATTGACGAGAAGGAAAAACAGAATCTATTTCCTGAAAACGAAGCTAAGATTGCATTTATAAATAGGGAACCCTATACAAGGAACTGACACCTTTATAATTTTTCTAGATGAGAACAATGGAAGAAGTTTCAAACGTGAATTAGAACTATTTCAGAACGAGGTACAGGACGAATGGGAACTGGATGATAATGAATATCTTTCAAGAAGAGAACTACAAGAAGCTTATGATCGAGAAGAGAATAGGGCGAAGAATAATGACAATGATATTCCTAAGAACAATGACAATGATAATCCTAAGAACAATGACATTCCTAAGAATAATGACAATGATACTCCTAATGAGGAAGACAAACGATGGTTAGACGTTGATACACCTGGAAATGGTATATACTGTACAATTGTGATTACTCTTGGCCTGAGTACAAACCTGCCTTAATAACTCTTCTTAAATCACCTTAACTCGCATTGTATCGCCTTACTGTAAATCGCATTCCTTAAAAGTTGGGTCTTTTCTTATACAGCTAATTCAAAAAAGGTTGTCCTTTGCAAACCTTAAACTCTAGAACTTAAACTCTAAGCGTGCATCATTAATTTAATCAGTTTAAAAATCATACATGGGGCGCATTTCTTCGAGACATGGTAAATATCTCCTTATGAGAACAATTCATTCACAAAAGATGCAATATTCGACTATTAAGCTTGAAACTCGTGCTCCCATTAAGCTTTGCGCGCTTAGAATTTAAGATTTAAGGTTTGCAAAGGACAAGCTTTTTTGAATTAGCTATATAATCGTCTCAAATCGCCTAAACGTCCATGGTGACCGCAGTCTTTGTGCAGTCTCATGACATCGTTGCAATGCTTAACGCAGACTAGTTAAGATTTAAGAGCAGGCCGCTATATGCAGCGAGTTTTTGGCTATCATATCTTACATGTTGTATTAAGCAAGCAAGGATTTATTATAGTGATTTACGTGTTTTCCTGCAAAACCACAAATTATCTTGCATCGGGTCAAATGATTTTCTAATCGTCCTGTATACACAGTCTATAGTCATCTATGTCTTCACTTCACTTCACGATGTCTTAACTCTAAATTTATTGATTGACTGCTGCTTGTCTAGGTGCATCAGAAGAACAAAAATCTCCCGCTTATGACGATGAATTACCTAAAAACGGAGGTAAGATGATGTATTTTTGAATTGACTTTACATTAATTGGCATTATGACTGCATGGCCAACCGCCACTTGTCACCAGCACGTTTCCGTAAAAAGAATACGAAAGCTTTTACCGTGAACTTTGCAGACTGAAAATCTTGTTTCGTTTATTCTTTGCAGACTGAAAATCTTGTTTCGTTTTTCAAATGTTCGATTAACCGTTAATCATGCTAGTTGTACATTGCCTGGATTATGATAACGAAAGAACTGTGTCAAAAGCTGTGCTACCCTGCCCATTTATTGGGATGAATTACTGCAATCCTAGTGAAAATATCCATACTACAACTTTGATGTATTTTTTCCCCTATTTTTCTCAGAATTATTCCAGGCGGACATTGTAATGGACGATTATGTTCGTGATGTGTTCAATGGGGAAGCTGGAAAACGTGATGCTGTTAGCTTGGCAAGTTATCATTGGCCAGTTAGGACAATACATTACGAATTTGATCCAGATATAGGTAATATGCGTAAAAGATTGACTTTGAACATTCACTGGTATTCCCTCTATATAGGATAAAAGCTTTGAGTTTGAATGACTGCTTAATTAATAAATAGTAAAAAAATCCCACTCGAAATTTCCAACTACAAATTAGTAAATACTAAAAAAAATTGTATAGGTAATCGCATGGGGCCAAGTAAAATTAAGGTTTACTTTCACGTGTGTTTTCAAACTTTCACAATTTGTGAAACTTTGAAAACACAAGTGAAATTAAACCTTAATTTTATGAGGAACTGTGCGATTACTTGTTATAATCATAAAGGGCAAAATGTATTCGTAAGTTAATTGTGAACTTGTCAAGTTCTTGAACCTTGTATGTCTCCATGTCTTCGCCGATGTCCCTTAATTAATGCTGCCCATTCTTAAATACTCCAACCAATAAATTTGTACTTTTTCTATAGTGTTCAAGTTTTTACTACTATACAGGGTGTATCAAAATAAACGCAATTCATCTTTTGTGCTTAATAACTTTCGAAATACTATTTCTAGTTAAACGCTTTTAGGCTTACTTCAAAGCCTGCTCTTTTCTCTTTCAAACAAACTATTATCCTTGTCTCCAATGCTAGTAATAATTGCACAGGAAAAGATTTAGTAAACCTATCATTTTTAGTTGCTGTTTAATTATGCAAGTTTACTATGTTATTGTTTAGTCGGTTTAAATGTTACAATTTTCTTCTTTAAACTTTAATGTTGTCGTCACTACATCTGGAAAACCACGTAAGAACAAATTAAAAGTATTTTAAAAGAGACCAGGTTGTTTGAAAATCCTAAACGAATGCTAAAAAATCGTCAAAACATTCTGGTGTCTGAGCCAGAGTTTCATCGAATTGCGATGTAATGTAAACAGAAATTATAGCAAGTTGATGTCAGTCAACTTAGATGGTCCAAGCCAAAATTATATCGCATTTGAAGTTTCAAACTGAGTTAAAAATAGTGGAAGAAAAGCCGTACTTATACTTATTGTTACAATCCATTTAATAAAATGCAACATTTTTTTGTTTTAATGAATATTCATATATTTTCATGAGAACGATTTGTTATTCCATCTCAATTTTTTTAATCTCCAATCGCAATAACGTAAAGTATTATTACCCGCGAACCAATGAGTCAAATTTAAGAAACAGCCCACTGCTAGAAAGCTGAATGGCTACGCCTTAAAATGAATGTAAACTTTAACGTTTTCGTCTATTATTTGTTTAGCAATTTGCATTTCAGTCGAGGATTGCGCTTTTTTTTATACACCCTGTAGAAGTTTTTAATTCCGCGACGACAAAGCGAGAAGCCATTGTTTTTATTGCTATATTTAAAACAAGAAACTATATATCGAGTGAGATATCGAAAATCCTGATATTTATCCATACACCTTACATTGGCATCACCTTAGTATGTACAGTATTGATGAACTTGTTGTTGGAGCTCGACAACTGTCTCTCTGTGGCCCGTTTATTAGGGCGCTGCACCGGAATCGCAGGGCTGGAGGTTCGATTCCTGCCATGCAGAGGGCCTACAGTTACATTTTTTGCAACTGCTCCTGGTTTAATAAATGTATAAAAATTTCACTCGAAATTTCCATCTACTAAGGGACCGGTCATTATTTATGGTGGGGGGTGGCACCGAAGAGAAAAGGGTTGGGTAAACTAAATTTTGAGTAACTAAAAGGTTGGGTAAATGAAAAACAAAACAACTCAAGGGTTGGGTAATAAAAAGTTATTGTCATTTCCAAAGCACGACTCACTTAAATATTGGAGACTGAAAAGCAATGTCAACAGTCATCACGGTCAATACAATATGTGAATCAATCAGAGTCACTATCTTGATCATTTTCCGATTTGTTGGGAGACAAATGGTGTCTCCAAAGAAAGTACATGTACATACAACCGGAAAGTTTAGTTATCAAACTTGTGTCACAGAAGTGGTAAAGGACATGTGTGACAACATGGTACTGAATGGTATTCTTTTGTAAAGGTTTTGGCCAGGGGTGGGTATTTATTTTTTAATTGATATTTGAGGTTGGGTAATCAAATTTTTTGCTTTTTAATGGTTGGGTCAGCAAAATTTTTACCAGGAAAAACATTTCTCTTCGGTGCCACCCCCCACGATAAATAATGACCGGTCCCTTAGCAAGCAGGACACAAATGGAACAACAACGGCTGTTAATAAATTGCCTCCTGAGTATCACTAGCTCGAGGGCCTGATACTCAGGCTAAAATTAATACAATGAAATTCACTTGTATAGAAAAGAAATGGCTAATTAAAATCCCACGGAAATTTTACACGTAGCCGTTTACTGAAGCCGGGATCAAACGAGGATGAGAGTACATGAGAGTGGCAGTCACACAACCTTCGTTAGCTGTTCTTACAGTCAATTTCAGCTGACTTTTCATCGTAAGATTCCGAACTTCGTTCCGAACTTCGCAAATTCGTTGCCAAGTTCAAAAGTTCATAATGAAATTCACAAACAGGTTTGTAAACTGGGCATTTGATTGGCTGGTTTGATTTAATAGCCAATCAGAGGCTTTGTTTACAAACCTGCTTGTGAATTTCATTATGAACTTTTGAACTTGGCAACGAATTTGCGAAGTTCGGAACGAAGTTCGGAATCTTACGATGAAAAGTCAGCTGAAATTGACTGTAATGCTCTCCCAATACTACTATCATGTATTCTGTTTAAGTTAAAGTATAGTTGGAATACTTACCGAACCTTTAAATTATTTTGTTAATCTAGAGCTTGAAATATTCCCGTAACAATGCGTGCATCACTCTCATCAACTCTCATAGGTTTCATATTTCAAGTTGGGGAACTTCTTCTTCAAAGTGGGTTCTAGAATTCTCCGCCGTCCTCACGTCTTCACCTCGATACTTAAACTGTATTTCATGAGACTTTAGGCATGCAGGACGGCAACGACGGCCAAAACCGAAACTTGTCGCCAAAAATGCATGATGTCAAGTGGAAACCAAGAATAAGACAATCGAAGGAATTATCTATGAATTCCTCTCGATCGTCTATGAATTAACACAGTACATGGAGGGTAAGAAAAGGAGAAGAGTTTATTTCTACTTTGCCGACTCAGCATGAAGTGCAGGTGCTATTACAAGACGTAAAAAGCTGTGGTTTCTCGTCGTAAACAAAGCGAGGACGACATCTAAAGCTCCCGTCGATTTTTAATAAATTATTCATTTCATTTCGACATGCAATATTATGAATTTCATTGTATTTATAATAGCCGTTGTCCGTCACGTGCAATCCCAGATTCCTGCTTGGCTAAGGTCTCTGATGCAGATAATCAGCGAATTAATAATATACATAGTGCAAGAAATGAGCCCCTGTCGTAGAAGCGAGAGACGCGTGCATTAACTACTATTCCAGCAACACTATACCAATAACACTACTATACCAACGTGTACTTCGTTACCGCGTTATGTTATGCTCCATCGAAGCGCCAGTGCGGCGCTCCGCTCTTCCAAGAGGCGCTTGTTGTGTCAGATTGATTTTTACCATAGTTTGTAGTCTAATTTTATAGAATATACATCTTCAATCTTTGTTCTTTTCACGACAGGTATGGTTTCAGAATCGCCGTGCAAAACAAAGACGTGAAGAACAGCAATGCATCGCGGTCTCAACAGCTCAAGGAAAACCCATCACGAAATCACCAACCGATGTCAACCATAGATTACATACCGTTGAATACCTACCATGGTCGTGTCAAAGTACCATGTACCATCACAGACCTACTGTACAGTATACATCATCACTGGATAACATTGTACCAAGATGGACAAATTTCTACCCCTATCCGTCATCGCTGTACCAGGCATATTATAAACCCGCAACATCAAGCTCGCTTATGACACCTGCGTCGAGCTTCGCGAATTACAGGTGGCCTCTCGACCTGATTGAACAACATAGAGCCATGATAAAGCAAATGTGAGCATGCGCGATCTAGTATTTTGTATCATTTGTCGATCCTTCACACTTCTGATCAGCACAAAAATTACACTTCTTATATTAGCACAGAGATATATTCAAAAAAGCACTCACTATAGACCTTTTTAAGACGTCTAGACGCCTTGAGACGTAGTTTGCGGATAACTACGATCGTTTGGCCAATCAGGCAAGCCAAATGGCTGTGCGGGGTTTTCCTTTATCCACAAATACGTCACAAGACAGACTTTTTAAAAAGGTCTATTACTCACATCAATTTGCGCTTCTTGATAATTCAGCACAAGATATTTTAGTAATCAATTTTTTGGCACAGACAATTTTATAACTAGCACGGATATATATTACACATCACATTGAACAATTTGCACATTGCACGTATTTATATTGAAATGATTTTGCATTTCAAGGAAACATTGCACCGTTTTTTACACATGCACCAAGCACTCATTGTAACAAATGAATTGAAAAATAATAATAGACATCAAATTTAATATGTTGCCGGGTGTTGTTGTCGTCTTTTATAGGCCGGTTTACACGACCAGTGTTTTGGGCACGGCACCCCTAAAAATGGGCACCCGTGCCCAAAATTTTAGGCACGGCACCTCTGCCTTTTGGCGTGTAAACGTGACAAAAATCGGCACCGGTGCCGCAAAATTTAAACGTGCCGAGACTTTCTCACGAGGTAGTCTCGGCACGTCTAGCAAGGGGTGCCGTGCCCAAATTTCGAAAAAACTAAAAAATGTGTTTGACATCGAGCATGCGCAAAACAAATTGTCCTCTTTCCAACATGGCAGCAAGCGGCGAAAAACTACAACTTGCCAAAAATTAAAAAAAACAAAGTTAAAAAACAAATTTAACACAGAATGTGAATGTTGCTCTAGTTGACTCGGAAATTTTGATACCACTGTTCGTCGCTGAAGAGAGCAGTAACTAGGTCGTATAGCAAATAGCTGTCGTTCGATGCGTCCATACCTCTCGAATTCGTGGCGGGTGAATACAAGATGGCACAACATTTATGCGAGAAAACAACTCCTTTTGTCGTTCATATGGGCAAAGGTTATCCCGGTTAACGAGAAAACTTTTCGACTAGCCAAATATACTTTTGTTCTGTTCACATGCATGGAGAAACGTTATTCCGCTTACCGGGTAAAGTTTCCGGCTGTGACATAGCACTGAATATCAATTGAATTGAAAAGTTACTGACACGACAGAAAGCTATCCTGCCAAGCGGGAACTAGAGTTGTGTTCATATGGGAAAAACATCACTTGACAAGTGAAATCTCGGTACGTACACGGGAAAACGTTTTGTCTTATATGAACGCAGTGTAAACTAACTTTTCATATTATTTTCATATCAAGGCGAGATCTCGCTTGTAAACTTTTCGAAAAGTTTTTTCACAAACCAGGATAACTTTTGCCCATATGAACTGGCCCTTAAAGTACGTTCCTAGTATTGAATTAGGTTTTCCCTCGATTTTCGGCTCATATAATATTCTTCTTCGTTCCAATAAATATAAATATATAATTCTATTTCTGGCCGACATATTTATTCTTTAAAATATACCGTCGTAAACGGAAAATAGAGGTGCCGTTTTCCGATGGGCACGCACTGAATATCAATAGAATTGAAAAGATGCTGATACGACAGAAAGTTATCCCGCTAAGCGGTAAAGTTGTGTTCTTGCATATGGGAAAAACATTATCCCGGTCACCGAGATCTGGCTTTTCAACAAGCGAGATCTCGGTACACGGGAAAACTTTTTGTCTCATATGAACGCAGTGTAACTTTTCATATTATTTTCATACCAAGGCAAGATCTCGTTTGTAAACTTGTCGAAAAGTTTTCTCGCTAACCGGGATAACTTTTGCCCATATGAGCTGGCCCTTAAAGTACTTTTCTAGTATTGAATTGGTTTCCCCCCTCGATTTTCGGCTCATATAATACTCTTCTTCGTTCCAATAAATATAAATATATAATTCTGTTTCTGTCCGACATATTTATTCTTTAAAATATATCGTCATAGACGGAAAGTAGAGGTGCCGTTTTCCGATGGGCACGGTGCCTATCATAAAAGTGTGTTTACAAAATGTTGTCGTGTAAACGAGTAAATAGCGAAGTGGCGGTTTTGGCACGGTGCCGATTTTCAGGGGTGCCGTACCCAAAACGCTTGTCGTGTAAACCGGCCTTATGTAACTATATAACAGAGGACTAGGTAGCCTGCGAACAGGCGTTTGTTCAAGTGGGCCTATCAATAAACGCCTTTTGGCAGGCTAAGAGCTAGGCCACTGCCTCTCACTGGCTTAGTACTCACTTGATTGGTTAATCGGATAGATTAAACGCATATGATTGGTTGCTGATACTCGAAAGTGAAACTCAAAATCTGAGCTTCTCTAATTGCTGCCGCAGCGAGCGAGCCTGAAGCGAGCGAGCAAGGCAGCAGATCCTAATTTTGTTTTGTGGGTCGAAATCAAAATTTTCTATTTGGCGCATTGCATGACGGTACCAGTGAATTTTAACCGTGGTGCAGCGCGGTCAGGCATAAGGCAAACAAGCTATGTGATCATCTTTCATCTTTGGTCTTCTTTTATGGAAAGCCGGCTTAGAGTGATCAAACGGCATTTTGTTGAGTGCTTTTAGCATTATACGGCGGTGCTTTCGCCATTATACCCGGTGGTTCCAGTGTTATACGCGGTGCTTTTACCATTTATATACGCGGTGCTTTTGCAATTATACACAGTGGTTCGAGCACTATATGCGGTGCTTTTAACTATACGCGATGCTATCTTTCATTCAACATTATTTCCATATTCTTTCCATGACATGTATATGATTTAACGATTGCTTAAATTTGGTATGTGGTTGACAAATGCTTTTTGCCTATGATCTGCATGGACAATGACATGCTTTTTTGTGTATATAAATGAATATAACGCAGCGAATGCGCCAAACAGTATAAACGCGGCTGAAATACGATATTAAAATCATACTGATGTGCCGTATGATTGTTTAATTATGTTTTAGAATTTACAAATGCTTTGTCATTTGTATTTATACTTGTACTGCATCACAAGGCAGTACGTAAGTGAAAAAATTCCACATGTGAGATTGTCTTGTATACATTTTTGCTTTCTTTGATAAACATTATTAAACACGCAAATTTTAATTAGTGAGACGCAATGTTAAATGTCACCTGCATGTCATTGCCATTGCCCTTTAACCCCTGGTCTAATTGGCCGCTTTTGAAAATGTTGATCATGACGAACCGCACTGCCTTAATTATGCAAACTTTGTGTTTTAAAAACGGGTTAGGATAAAACGCGGATACGGACGGACGGATGAATGACGGATGGACGGACCGGACGGATGACATATATATGTCATTATATAGTCTGCGCGCAGCCGCGCAGGGTAGTTAGTGGCTTACGTCTTCGCTGGTTGTTATACTTTAAAATAATTTTGTACCGATAAATATAATATATATAATTATATACCGATATATATATATATATAATTTTATACCGATAAATCAATATTCCGAGTATATAAATATATAAACTGGGATGTCACACTGATAGCTTGTTTACATTTCCTGGAGCATCATGAAATCTTATGTTTAACCACGGTGGTTTAACCCATTAGCTGGCAATGCGCCCTTCCCTTGTCCAACGCCAGAAGATTTTACTCGTCAGTGGTATAGGGTACTGCCAGTAAATGGGTTAACAAACCTATCTGCCAATGGCTCTTGTTAATTCATCAACACAGTAATGGCCCCTACTTTAGTATTTACCCTGTTCAACGCCAGACGATTTTTAATACTCAGTCAGTGGTAGGGTACTGTTAATAAATGGGTTAACAAGGATAACAATAATAGGATGTTTCTGAAGGACTCGTTCAACACCCTGTAGTTTGTCTTTTGCTGTCAAAGGCAGCATTACTGCCCTGTGGGTAACCTAGTAATATGACATATTACGCAAAGGGCACAGAAGTTCTCGCCTATGTTCGACATGTTCTTCCAAAATGTTTATCCGCCCCCGAGTATAACCAGAGGCGCAACCACGGGGGGCGGAGACCCTCCCACTTTTCTTCAGAACCAATTTTGTAATTCTTTGAAATTGAGGAGTAACTGGGAGTGGGGGGCGTAACCTTTAATGTTTTAATAAAATATACCAAATCTGTGGCTTTCAGATTATCATAAAACGTGTCTAAAATGATGAAGTAGCGTTTCGCAGTTCCTACAAATAGAAAAATTTGCCGGCCGGACATCTAGTCTCCCCCCCCCCCCGTTTAGGGCCTGCCTATACGGCCTGAGTATAACCAGCGGCAACATATACTATATCGGGGTCAGCTTGATATTCTTGCTATCATGATCCCTGATGGATAGAGAATACGGAGCGGATACGGGATTTAACTAAGAAACCTATTGGGGACAATACATTTTTTAGTACGTTTCTTTACAGTTTTCTAATAACATTCCCAGAAAGTTTCACTGCCCAAGAAGTCTAGTCTCAACGATCATTCTTCTCACGCACGTGCAGAGTTTGGAACTACCTACCTGACGAAATGCGCCGTATGGATGCATCTTTATTACGCTTTAGAAGCTTGCTAAAAGAACATTATTTGACAGCATCTCAAACAATTTTCGATTCGGATGATCCAAGGACATGGAAATCTGTGTGTCTGAAATGCAATTCAGCACGCATACTTAGGATCTCCACTTCATGTTGTAGTTAGTGCATGTATTCTCTCACTTATCGGGACCACAGTAATTGGCTTCACAATATCTATTGTGGCAAAATAAATAAATAATTTAAGTCATCATATCATCCCCTTTCATCTTAAGAGATGAAAACTTCGTGCTGTACTTGTTATGGTATGTTGTAGCCTTGTAGGTGTTGTGAGGGTGTCATCTACTACACACGTAAAAACGCACAAGTTGTTATAAGTCTGCAAACAAGTTGGTACAAATGGCCACAAATCTGTTCACAAGCTGTCAACAAGTTGTCTTCGCACTGCTTGTTCCCAGTTGTTGTCACAAGTTTGGGTCAAGCTGTTAGCAACTTGTAACAAGCTTCATGGCATTATCGGACTTGTCACAAGGTTGTTCTAACAAGTATGATACAGTCATGATAAACAAGAATGTTACAAGGTTGACGACACAAGGTTGTAACAACACTGCTATATCATGACTGTATCGGACTTTTTGGAACAACCTTGTAACAAGCCCGATAATATCAACAAGGTTGTTACAAATTGTTAACATGCAGCTTGTTCCAAACTTGTTGACAACTTGTGACAAGCAGTGCGAAGACAACTTGTTCACGGCTTGTTGACAAACTTTACAAGATGTGAGATTTTTGCGTGTGCACCACTCCTTCAGTTTCACGTGTAGCGCACGCAAGTGTTTATAACGACTCGCGAGATATTCCACGCGAGCTCGTGAATCCAATATGGACGATATAGCATGTTTAAAAGTTGTTGGAATTCTTACAGTAAATTTTATGTTTTCTGTCACAGTTTCAAATTATTTAACTGATGAAATAGGCCTGGTTAAGTCTCCAGTTACCAGTTTAAAGATATTTTGTTCCACTTATGTCTTGGGATATTTTATTTTGTTTTTTACCAGTGCACAGAATTTTGCAAGCGTGCTGCCATCTCACACGCAGTCGAAGGTAACGTTAATTAAACAATGTACTTAACATTTTGGGAAATGGAATGTTTCATTTTTGCCAGGTCTGGGGTACTGATAGCTATGGCCAGGTGGACATCACTGATAGAGCTGCCATGGATTTGACTAATTCACAGGTGTTTGTTGTGGCCCGTGATGAGTTTAATAGGGTGAAATTATGTTAGGGTCAGGCCCATTGAACTATAAATAAACTGGAAGGCTAACTCAGGGGGGGGGAAATTGAAGCCAGTGCATTTTAGTTTTTCTGAGTTATGAGCAGAAATACTCAACACTGAACGTTGGGCTATATATCAAATTGAAGCTATAAAACGCTATTTGGTGTAGAAATTTCAAGACTTTAGCTAAAAGGGAAATATTGAAAAACTACAAACATAATTACCGATAATTTGCCGTTTTGCATTTGTTTTTGTATTTTTTAAATATTTTTCTTTTCGCTGAAGTCTTGAAATTTCCACACCGAATAGCAATTTTCAATAGCTTCAATTTGATATATAGCCCGTCGTTTGGGGTCAAGTATTTCTGCTCATAACTCAGAAAAACTATTTTGGCTTCATAAGATCATAGGCCTTCATCATAGCAGTTAGCCTTCCAGTTTATTTATAGTTCAATGGTCAGGCCTGACTGGAAAGTTTGGAAATTGCACGCTGGAGATTTCCAAAATTTAACAGTAATTAATAGAAAGCATCACAATTGCGCGCCGGAGATATCCGCCGTGCCATACAAACTTTCCACACTGGGGGTCAGGCCTCGAATTTCCCTGAAATTAATCGATGGCAATGTGTTAAAAATAGCCGTAAAACGTATTACATTAAACAGTTGTCTACGGTAATTTTGGCAGTTTCCACAGCATTTTTTCAAATTAACAAAAAGTTTATTGTTACTTTGGATTGCTCACAAGCTATAGAAACATGTTTACGTATTTCTTTAAGTGTTTTTTTTTCTTCGAAGAATTAAAACTGAGAGTAAAATAGTAATTTACGCATGGTTTGATCAACATCTGAATTCAAGTATTAAGTCAAAATAGTAACGCACAGTGAATAGTATAAAAATTTCACTATACAGCAAAAAATTGCCGTCGTTGCCACAATAATCCACGGCATTTTGTTCTCCCTGGTTAGGGTGTTATACAGAGATTACAAAATCGGATACCAACTTCACATCACATACCCCAACGAATGCCTGTGAGGTAGTCAGCCCAGAACAACAATGCTCTAATGACCCCAACGTGCCTGACACCTTCACACAGAGGCAATAAGGGACCGGTCATAAAGTAACTGCTAGGGTGGGCTGGAGTGATTTGGGATTGGCCATGGAAAATCTTTGGGCAGTTTCGATGGGCTGCCAATTTTTTGGTATGTCCAAGGTTGGGCCACCAAACAAAAACCCATGTTAATTATATATTATATAAAGATATTAATAATAAAAGTAAACAAAACTATTCAAATTATCAAATGCAAATGATGCTATTGAAGCCAGTATTTTGTTTTATACAACAACAAGAAGTGGTTGAATCACAGCAAATACAACCAACTGGAGGGCAGCTCAGTATCGTAATTGGTGATGAATGTGTTGGTCAAGCTTGGTGGAATTATGTATGTCAATACAGTGCAGGTGTATATTTACAATGTTCATACCTGCAAGTTTTTTTTATGGTAAAATTGTAAATGTATTCTCCCAATTTAGATTGGGTGGGTGGGTCATGAAATAAATTTGGCAAGATTAGATGGGCTTTGAAATTTTTATCTTCAACCTAAGATGGGTCACCAAACTTATTGGCAAAATTTGTGATTTACCTCCAGCCCACCCTAGCAGTTACTTTATGACCAGTCCCTAAATTATATTCTTACACATTACCAATACACTCTGTGTTTTGATTAGCTGCTGGTCTACGAATAAATCTTTACATCAGATAATTATGATGTCACACGCTGCGCAGCGCTAAAAGAGGGGTGCGCATGGACACCCAGTCGGCAAACTGTTTTTATAGTCGGCCAAACATGAATTGGATATAGGAAGGAAGAAAAGTTAAATATCTAAGTGACACGTCTGATTAAAAACTAATAATTATAGCTTAAATTTGGAGAATTAAATTTTGACCCCCATTCAAATAGGGCTAGCGCTGCCCCTGGTCACACCTACAGTTAATAGTTTTCCACATGCATATATGACATCTGCAGTGCAGAGAATAATCACAGTCCCAGCAAAAGCCACATTGTTTACACAAAGAAAAATTGCAGCTATTAATGCATCCCAAGAATTGCCTCGGTAGTTATAGAAAACATACTAAAAGTTTACAAAAACTATTAGATGAAAAAGAAGTGGACAGCACTAATTAAATGAGCTACAAAGACAGCATTAATTTAACATGTTTTCCATGAGTATCTTGGACAGAAAAAGATAAGCAAACGTCAAGAAAAAGAGGTCCTTGTTGAAATCCTAAAGCTATTTTACTAGAAATATTTTGTTTATTTTGTATATGGCATATAATTAATAAAAATATAAAATAATTATTAAATCCTCGGCTTTGATAATTCTCGATATCACACTCAATAATTACAGTATTAAGTATTCCATAAATGGGGTGCAATATGGTTTAATGCTTACTAAATAATATAAGACCATCTATTCGTATATGCACCTCAGAGCAATTTGTTTTTCAATTTCAGGGACATTTTATTATTACTTCTATATTGAAGTGGTTTATTGGAGCACTTGCATTTCATTGTATTGCTGTTCTTTATGGTGCTGCACTTTTGAGGTATTTAAAACAATCACTCATACGGTAACTAATAAATATACTTACCCAAGTCAAATATAGTTCAACAGCATTTCCCATATGAACATTTAAAGTGCACATACAGCAGTCAGGAATTTTACATGTAATACTATACTGGTGGTATTCAGTACATTTCAAGACGAAATGCAATTATATATTTTCTTAGAGAAAAACTTCAAAAAGCTGTAGTAACACATTGCAGTATATAACTCTTTGATATCTTTATGTAATTTTAAGATTTGTTGAGGAGACATTCATGTGGTCAGTAATGATGTCAAATCTAGTAATCCTTCCTTCCTTTATGACTGAAATAGATGAAATTTTGATGGTGCTTCATGGCAAAGGGTAAGCATTAATTTAAGATATGAACAGGTATTACCATAAATTATTATCAGAATTACACTTAACTCAAATTTTACGAACAGCAATGTTCCCTCTTCACTTCATCCCTGTTTAATTAACAGACAGTCATAGACGGATTTTCATATTTTTTACTGGGGTGGTGCCAGAAATTTTAGGGCGGTACGTGAGCCATGAGCAGGTGACTGAAGCAAGACAAAGTGTCACCAAACTCCAGTAATGTCACAGGAGGCCCAGGCTCGATTTGCCCGCGCCCGCCTGTGCCTTCCTTATAACGAGGGAAGGAAGGAAACATTGAGACCAAAATAGCCCAGACTGGCATATGTCACACGAAACTATCCTCGATTTTTCGCCTTTAATGCATTTCTTTCACGATTAATCGATATCCCCTGCAAGAATGATACCGTATAACTCTCAAAACAACGATGCTTTAATCAAAGGGCTTAAATTCGCTCTGAAATCCGTGAGGGAATAACAAAATTTGCCCAAAATATATCCGCGTGCCGGGTTTGCTGGACAAAAAGCGGAAGTCGTTGAACAACTCAAAATACACTCAACCCTGATTGGACAACGAAAATCAACAAACATTTCAAATTTCTTTCCACTGGCACTGGGAAGGGGGACAGTACTTGGAACAGTACTGTAATAATTTGATTATTTGAATCAAAACAATTCACAAACGTTATTATACTGACTAAACTTCTTAAATTTAAATATTTAGATTTGCACTAGTTTCACTCCGACAACAATTGTTAATTGTTTTGATTCAAATTTATATTACATTACTGACTACAGAAATTTGAAATGTTTGTTGATTTTCGTTGTCCAATCAGGGTTGAGTGTATTTTGAGTTGTTCAACGACTTCCGCTTTTTGTCCAGCAAACCCGGCACGCGGATATATTTTGGGCGAATTTTGTTATTCCCTCACGGATTTCAGAGCGAATTTAAGCTCTTTGATTAAAGTATCGTTGTTTTGAGAGTTATACGGTATCATTCTTGCAGGGGATATCGATTAATTGTGAAAGAAATGCATTAAAGGCGAAAAATCGAGGATAGTTTCGTGTGACATATGCCAGTCTGGGCTATTTTGGTCTCAATGTTTCCTTCCTTCCCTCGTTATAAGGAAGGCACAGGCGGGCGCGGGCAAATCGAGCCTGGGCCTCCTGTGCTTTATACTGGAGGAATTCACCCCCTGAAAATATTCAAAATGGCAGACATTCAGGGGGTGAATACCTCTCATACTGTCTAGGAACATGACGAGTGCATTTTGATGGCAGGTCATGGCGTTTTTTGGCTGAGTCAGTCTTCTGCATCGTGTCTATTCTGTGGTATCTGCGAGTGTTCATCGTTGGATAGAAATGACGGTACAAGTGTTTCCACGAAGGATTTTTGCACAATGTTCTTCAAATGGGAAATCATAAAGTCATAGAGATAAAGTGGAAACATTTCCAGCAAACATTGATTGATATCGATTTGATTGTAAAATTTGAAAAGAAATAAATTTTGTGTGAACGTGGAATTTCCACAATTCAACGTGGCAAAGTTTTGAAATTAATTTAACGTAAAACAGTTGTGTTTTTCTTTATTTATGTGTGATAATTGTGCAAAGTTGTGTGTGAATATTGTGTAGAAATGTCTCGAGGAAGAAAAGAAATTTTATGTTTGTTTGATGTGGATGGAACAGTCACACGGCCACGGCAGGTCAGTTTTGCATTTTATCATGACAAAAAAAGAGTTCTCTCTTGTTTGTTGTAAAAATTTGATGTATAGATAGTAGGATGTCTCTGACTTGCTGGCTGGTATTTCGATTGAAGCTTGTTGTTCACAATGTTGTTGTTTTTGTTGTTGACATATATTCTTCTTGTTCACTTGCTTAATTTGGCAAATCAATATATCCAAGTGCTATAAGGGGCGGACCATTAGAAAAGTGATGGGGTCGTACAAGTTAGAAATATCCCCCCCCCCCCCATCACTTTTCTAATGGTCCGCCCCTAATTAAATCACTGTCAATTTAAATTGCACGCCATCAGAAAAATCACAAAAAATAATTAAACATTAACCAGATTGAGTGCCAACACTCTCTCCTTGGGAAATAAAATAATCAGACAGTAACAGCAAAATAATAAATTAGAGCTGTAGGTAGCCTGCGTGGCAGGCCCTCGGTTTTATGGGGGGCCTGATTTGTAATGGGCAGGGTTTTGGCAGGCACAGGGGAGGACCCTTGTCCTGTGCCTTGTTCTTCCTAGCTACAGGTGTATGTACTACAGAGCCTGAAATAATTTTTAAATTTGTCCGGCAAAACTTCCAAGCAAAATGAAATTTGACCGGAAATTTTCAAATTTGGTCGGAAATTTTTTAGTTTAGTTTGATCGCCTCCGTTGAGTAAATTATGTCAAGCATGCAGTAAATCACTCTACTTGTAATAAACAGCCTATTTAACTGTCCTGATGAAGGGCCTTTGCTCGAAACGTCGAGGAAACACATTCTTTATCTTCCAGGTCGTCAAATTAACAACAATGAAAGCAGTCACTCTGACTCGTAACTCGTGCACTGTCACACATTTAAGTTAACTAAACTTTGTTTAAAGCATGCTCTGATCGAAGAAACTTTGATAACTTTCCAGTTGATTACTCTATATAAGACTAGTATAGATAATCTAAGACTATAGATACTGCACTCACTGTGCTGAGCGCCAACCCGATAATTAAAAAAACAAAACAGATTATCATATTTTTTTTCAACATTTATCCGGACGAAACTTCCGATCATTTCGGCATTTGGTCGGAAAAACTGGAAATTGGTCGGAAAACCGCCAGCTGTTATTTCAGGCTCTGTATCACAGAATACCGCAAAAATTTACATGTTCCATATCTTTTGTCTAATGTATATAATATGGTTCCTTAATATTTTTTAGTATAGTCTATCGATACATTTTTTCTTCCTGGGGGTTTTGGGGCAAGATTTCATAGACTTAATTATTTTTTTTAAATGAATATTCTGTGGGAAAAATTTCCAATGTACCACAGAATACCAGTGCAGAGGTAAGTAAGCAACGGCTTATCAAATTGTACCAGGATTTGGTGTGTCATTTTGTATGATAATACTGTGGGATATTGCTAACTTAATTTAGTGAAAGTTAAAACACTAAAATCAGTAAAGAATACCAGTGGTATAACCAAAAAATATCAGATTTATCAATAATTTTGAAAAATTCAGTTTTTCAATGGTAAAATTGATTACACTGTGATTCCAGTGTAGTAATAATGTTGTGTTGCATAGAAAAAGTATTGATCAACATAAATTATGCTGGTTTGCGAACTTATTTTTAAACATTCAGATTTTACAGGCATTATACGAAAAAAAGTACCAAAAATATAGAATGTTACTTCTTGTTAATCCTGAATATTTTTAGGAATTTTTAAGAAAATATACATTTTTTGTTTTTATTATGTCAATTAAGACTAATAACTAATATATAATCACAAAAATAAAGTTTATAGCATATTTCCTTCAAATTTTATATAAGAAATAAATAAGACTGGTATTCTGTGGTACCGTGGTATTCTGTGGTACATACACCTGTAGATGTGCTTGGTGATTCCATAAAACTGAGAGCCTGCCACACAGGCTAAGCTGTAGGGCATATCATGCTCCCGTATACCGTCCTATGAATGATTTATCCCTTGGATAGTCACCAGACCAGCTGCATGCAAAACTTGTGTTGATTAAAATGTTTTCACTTGCAGATGATCACAAATGAAATGAAGGAATTTTTATTTCAACTTCGAGACAAGGTTGATGTTGGTATGGTGGGTGGTTCGGATTATTCCAAGGCACAGGAACAGCTGGGGGGAGGAGACGGTGAGTAGTGTTTTGCACCAAATTTCCCAACAATTTCTATGTGCATGCATTCAATCTTTATCCGATTTACAAGGCAAGCTGAAGATAACCTATCAAATATAGAAATCTTGTTGTTTATTTAACAACTTTTACATTTTAGTGTACAAACAGTATGACTATCTATTTCCTGAAAATGGTTTAGTTTCTTACAAACGTGGAGCCTATCACGAAACACAGGTTTGTCATCCGATAAATTTGAAGATTTCTTTTTAATAGTTATATAAATTATGTGAATTTTGTAACAAAAAATTATAAAGAAGATTATAGAATGATAGTGTTCTTTTTTCAATCAACAGAATATAAAGTCATTTCTTGGGGAAGAAAAGATTCAGATATTCATCAATTTTTGTTTGAAATATTTATCGGAAATAAGCATTCCTGTAAAACGGTACAGATTTTGAAAATAGCCGCACACCATTGTTTTCTGATCTGTTTTCTGAGTGGTCTTCATTCTGTGAGTGTCTAAAATGTCTGTTTATTTTTGCAGAGGTACGTTTGTTGAGTTTCGAAGTGGGTTAATCAATATTTCTCCAATTGGTCGTAACTGTTCACAAGAAGAACGAGATGAATTTGAAAAATATGATAAGGTGATGTTGTCATCTATTACCTTCTCAGGGCTATGTTTTCGTCCGTGTTTGTTTGTTTGTGTGTCTGTCAACACAAAGTAACATTGTCCAAGGATAAATTGATTAAATTTGATTGAAGATTGAATGAGAAATTAGCAAACATTTCTCTTGCTTTGCCAGGCAAAATAAACTGGATGTGTAATGGACCATTTGCATTATAGACTAAATTTTGATCTACTGTAGACAAAAGTTTCATCACAGCTTGAAAGAGCATCACAAAATTAGTAATATTCCAAAGTTTCGTTGCGAAATGTTGTAAAATGCGGATAATATAGCCTTGCGAAGTTTGCCGTTTTTCAGTCATTTTGTATTACCCACGGGAAATTGACAGCCCAATCGGGTGTTGGGGCATCAATTTCCCGTTTGTAATACAAAATGACTGAAAATTGCAAATTTCGCAAGGCTATATTATCCGCATTTTACAACATTTCGCAACGAAACTTCGGAATATTACTAATTTTGTGATGCTCTTTCAAGCTGTGATGAAATTTTTGACTAGATCAAAATTTAGTCTATAATGCAAATGGTCCATTAGCCCATTGTATAAATCGTGATTTAATTTGCTGGCGGAGGAACCAAATCTTCCCTAAATAGAAAGCTGCGGTTTGAGATTCAATCAACTATAATGTGTCTTTCAGACAGTTGAATCTCAATCCGCTGCTTCCTGGTGTCGCTGGGACAAACTGTTAAAATCTTCTTTAACCTTTAGATTCATAATATAAGAAGAGATTTTGTGGAAGTGTTGAGGAAGCAGTTTGCCGAATATAACCTCAAGTTTTCTATTGGCGGACAAGTCAGTTTTGATGTATTTCCTATTGGCTGGGATAAAACATATTGTTTAAAACATGTTCAACACGAAGGATACAAACAAATACATTTCTTTGGTGATAAAACATGGGAGGTGAGATGGGTGCCAAGTTTTTCAAGAAAAAGTTCTGTGTTCTTTAGTAATTAGAAACAATGTTAATTATGTATACCATATATAATTAGAGTTTGATTTGTTTCTTTATATCTGTAGGGTGGCAATGATTATGAGATATTTATGGATGAGAGGACGATTGGACATACAGTTCAGAATCCTTCAGAAACAGTGACAATTTTACAAGAACTTCTAGACAATGGAACCTTTAGCTAGATATTATTAAACTTTAATTCAATAAATAATACAATTACCCATGTGCCGCATTAACGCTGTGGTCAAATGTCCTCGCATATTTACTTCTTGTATTTAAAAGATAATACTAAAAGTAGTATAGATAGATAGATAGATAAACTTTATTTAACCACGCTAACCCCGTCAACTGAAGCTGATTTCCACAGGGGGCGTGTATAAAAGAAATTACAGAAGTATAAACTTTAGAATAATTATTTACAGAGTATTAGAAATAGTATTAGGCATGCAGGTATTAAAGTAAGTAATGGGAATATAACAATCTATTTACATTGTACATGACAACATTTGTTGTCTAATTAAAAATGTGAGCGGCATTTTCTTTTGGCCTTTTACTATATTATAGTATATTCCATCTCTAAATATTTCTGTACAAAATACTGTATTCAATATTCATACCCATAGAAACAACTGTGAATAGTTCATCATTCTGTTTTAGTTCTTTTGAACATAGTTAATATAATGAGACTTTAACCGGCTATGTTTTGAAAGAAAGTTGGGGCATGATGTCTGACTAGGCGGGGGATTTTTCTCTTAATGTGGGAATAAAGTGCCTGGGTACACACGTAAAAAGGCACAAGTTGTTACAGGTTTGCAAACAAGTTGTTACAAGTCTGTTCACAAGCTGTCGACAAGTTGTGTTCGCACTGCTTGTTCCCAGTTGTTGTAACAAGTTTGGAACAAGCTGTTAGCAACTTGTAATAAGCTTGATGACATCAGACTTGTTACAAGGTTGATCTAACAAGTCTGATACAGTCATGATATAACAAGAATGTTACAAGTTTGACAGCACAAGATTGTAACAATATTGCTGTATCATGACTAGCTGTATCAAACTTGTTGGAACAACCTTGCAACAAGTCTGATAATATCAACAAGGTTGTTACAAGTTGCTAACAGCTTGTTCCAAACTTGTTGACAACTTGGGACAAGCAGTGAGAACACAACTTGTTGGCAGACTGAGTCACTGAGATTTGTTGACGTGGCTGATTTTGAGAGTGACTTCGAACCATGACGTCATTGCGTAGTATACTAATTTTATTCAAAATGGCGAGCTCTCCTATATCTATGCCTTTGAGTAGTATTAAATTTTTAAATATACAGAAAAGTTATCACGAAAACGGGATCGTATTGGATAAAACAGGTTAGCTTAGATCCGTCATGTTTCAGCGACAGAGAAATTGGTGGACTGAAGTTATTTGGAAACCTAAAAAAGCTCATTCACTTGAGCAATTGAGGTAGTTTTAATTTTTATGTCACATCAGTCACAAGACACGTCGTATTCTGCCGGACATTTTATATAGTTTGGAATGCCCCTGTACGTATAATTTATTATAAATTGTTTTTCAGGCAGGTTTAGCCACTGTGTATCTTACATTTCTAATTGATATTAATTAAATACTCAAAATTAATATCAAATATATAATTCCAGAGTGGAAAGTTTGTAGGTTCCCCTGAAGATTTTCGGCGTGGAAAATTCATAAATTTGCTCCATTTTGGCGCAGAAGTATGGGAAAATGAACTGGTGTGACATACTGGCATACAAAAATGTATTTTATAGTTGTGCACACTACAACATTTTCAACAAACTATTTTGTTTGTATTTCAGCCATTTAATTAATGTCTCGATCAATTCCATGGGTGCCCCCCCTCCCCTGGCGTTTGTCGGGCATTTGTCATTTTGGTGAAAAAATGTTGCAAATGCCCCACCATGGCATCCAAATAATGCAACAAAATCCCCACCCTTTGTTATTTATTATTTATTTTATTATTATTTTTTATTTGGGACTTACATTAACGCAAATGCCCCACCCTTGGGGACAAAACATAAATTTTCTGAGGATTTTTGAACCAAAAAATGAAATGCAGGCTCTATCTCGTATCAATATATCCGTATTTAAAATGTAGCCATTTCGTTTCAAAACATAATTGTTAATTGAAATATTGAAGTCTCAAAACATAATTATTAATTAAAATATTGAAGTCTCATGGGGGATGGGCACCCATGGAATTGATTGAGACATAATGCACCAATCAATGTTATGCCCGACCCTAGGGAGGGCGGACAAACCCAGGGGCATTTGACATTTTCAATTTTTTTGTGACAATAGTCCCCACTATGAAGCAGAACTTTGTGGTCAATCATAGTCAAATCCACCATCCCTGAGTTAGAAGAAAACTACAAAGATGTTATAATCTGCTCAAACAATTTATTTATATTTATAAGGCGTAAAAAAAAATACCTGTGGTTCCGATTTCATATCGTGAAAAAATTAGGGTCAGTAGGTCGGAAATAAATTTTTTTTTTGAATATTTTTTTCATGGTTTTGGCGGTTTTTTGCTGTGCGATTTGCAGTAGAGTCCCGACATCAATATTAACTTGAGATGCGTATTTCCTATGGATGAATTTAGGCAGTTTGGTTCAATAATTAGTGTGACAACAGACGCCATTTTGGCACACTGTATGAACAACCCGCAACCACCTGGAGAAAATAGGGTTGCACGGTCAATCATAGGGTCGGCAGAAAAAAATAGGGTCGATCGCGAACCGGAACCACAGGGTTTTTTTTTACGCCTAATATAGCATTTGTAAATTCTGAATGCTATAGATTGGCTAAGAGCCATGTTGTTATAACTCAATATAAACACAGAAATTTCCAATTGGATTCAATTGTAATAATTATTTTCTCTTTTCTTATTATTTATTTCTTAGTCTATTAATTAAATTATGTATTAAAAAGACAAAAGTTAAAAAGATTTTATTTTAAAAAGTCACAAATGAAGAGATGCTTGTAATGTTACTCTGAGTGTATATCCAAACCGGGCAAGCTTGAAAAAATGAAGAGATACTATTCATGAATTCACCTTGCGATTTTCCTGAAATGAGAACACATCAGAAACTTTATTATGAATCCTGGTTGTGCATCTAGTTTAAAATTAACGACAGTTTAATCATTTACAGAATAATTGGAAATTACAAAATAATGATATTGTTTTTATAATGATGTCGTGTTGGTCGACCACAATGCGCCCTAGTTATTTTTTTTTACTTGTCTAGTGCCAGACGATTTTAATTGTCAATGGGGAAGCTCTGCAGCTTAATGGGTTAATTTAACAAATTTAAAATGGATTAATTTCTCTGGGTTAAACATTGCTATCAAATGGGGCGGGGGCTTATATACTTGGATACATTTAATGTATGTGCACTATTAAATTGCTGTACTTTATTTGTTAGATATCATCATTATATCCTAACGAAAAATGCAGTTGTCACTGATCAAAACCGTTCATTATTGGTTGAAACACTTCGATCTATTGCGGAGATCCTTATTTGGGGAGATCAAAATGATAGCACAGTGTTTGAGTAAGTTCATGTGATTCTTAATTAGAGAGTTTAAGATCATTCTATGACGTGGCTGGCTCAACGATGCAGTCTGAGTTTTAGCTCTGGAAATTACAGTGGTCTGGAAATTACAGTGTGAATATTATTGTGGGAAACTGTCCAATATTGTACTAGTTATTGAATATGATAATCTTGATTTGTAGCTTCTTCTTGGAAAAGAACATGCTTCTATTTTTCTTGAAAATCTTGAATCAGAATCCTGGGACATATGTTTGTGTCCAGTTATTGCAGACATTGAATATTCTCTTTGAAAATATCCGACATGAAACTTCGCTATGTAAGTTACTACAGTATGAGATGAACAGTGCAGACAAGGCAATTGTTTTTATGTGAAATGCATCCTGATGAATAATGGTAGACTTTTTTATTTTAATCCTTAATATCTTTACTTCATTTAGATTACTTATTATCTAATAACCATGTCAACTCAATCATTATTCATAAATTTGACTTCTCAAATGAAGAGGTATTCTGTTTAAACATTTGATCTTATTTCTCTTGTTTAATCCCTATTTTATTATTTCACTCTGCTTAATGCCAGACAATTTTACTTGTGAAATGGAGCAGCACCGGCACTCAATGGGTTAAACATTTCCTGCAGCTATCATACACTCAACACTTATTTTTTGCCCAGTGAGCGCCAGCACTTCCCTTGATGAGTAAAATCATAAAGTGGGATAGCAATGAAGCTTTGCTTAATGTTAAAGTACTAAATGGGATAGCCTGGAAACAGACCTACTGTACGTTTTGCCCGCCCTAAGCGTAGGTCTGTTTTCAGGCTATAAATGGGATTGAATGTAATTTGTTTAGATTTTGGCTTACTACATTTCATTTCTAAAGACTTTGTCCTTGAAGCTTAATCTTCATGTCATTAATTTCTTTTTTAATGAGGTATGTAGAGCTTTGCTTACTTTCTCAAGTAGTTGAGCATACCTGATATATTGCTACTTTGTTTAGAGAAAGAATGATTATGCCCTTTACACTGAAGCATTAAAGTTTTTTGATCACAAAGAAAATATGGTTCGCATTGCTGTTCGTACATTAACATTGAATGTTTTTAGAGGTAAATAGAATATTCTATATCAAAAAGACACAAAAATGCAAGGGAAAATAATAACAAGACATAGCCAGCTCAACAGCATTCTGAAATACGATATTTATTGTTTTACCAATACACTGTGTTAATGTATCATGACTTAAACATATTTTTTCTAGTGAATGACAAAGCAATGCTGAACTTCATTGTGAACAAAACTGCAAATGCTTATTTTTGCAATCTCATCTGGTATATTGGTAATCATGCCATAGAACTGGAAAAATGCTCTATTACAGAGTCTGAGTATGTTGGAGAAATCTTAAATTACAAAAAACAGACACACAGACAGGCTACATTGAGGAAACAGGCATATGGACAAGCAATGGCCTGATTTTATGTCTGTTTATCAGCGCAGCCTGTCTGAATGTCTGTTTGTTCATGTAGTTTGTATAGGCTCGGTAAAAGAGTAAGAACAATTCAATTTATTAGACAACATATTTCTTTTGCAGTCACTTACACTGTGGACGTTTAAAGGACCTTGTAGCAGACCATCTAGATCACCTTCATTATATCAATGATATCTTGTGTTTAAATATTGTGGAATTAAACGAAATATTGACAGACTTTTTACTGGATAGATTGATCATTCCACTCTACCTTTATTCACTGGTTACTGATGACACTGCAAAGGTTTGCTCATACTTTTATCATGTTTGAAAAGTGATATGATAGTGAAAGCTGTTTTTTTTTCAGTTGAGTGTAATGAAACAAATCATGTTTGAAAAGTGATATGATAGTGAAAGCTGTTTTTTTTTCAGTTGAGTGTAATGAAACAAATTTTGTTTTAGGAGAATAAACCACATATATGCAAGCTTTTTGCTCTTTATCTTATTTCACAGGTTTGTTATAAATGTTGATTCACTACCTTCAGTCACACTAGCTTAAATTCACTTTTAATAAGTAAAAAGATTCTCAGAAACTTTTAGAATTAGCAGTCTCCTCCACTACTTACCAGTGTCCTCTGCTATTTACCAGTGTCCTCTGCTACTTACCAGTGTCCTCTGCTATTTACCAGTGTCCTCTGCTACTTACCAGTGTCCTCTGCTATTTACCAGTGTCCTCTGCTACTTACCAGTGTCCTCTGCTACTTACCAGTGTCCTCTGCTATTTACCAGTCTTCTCCCAGTTTCTTCTGCTACCACGTACCCAATATCTTCTGCTACCTCCAATTTTGTTCTTCTCAGACAGTGGTCTTAACTAAACTGATTGCCTTCATCAACCTAGATATTTCTGATTATCAAACATCCACCATTGGTTTCGACTTTGACTGATGTTATATTACAAGGAGAGGAACTGACCAGTTCACCTGTTCAGTCACCATCTAGTCCACGCAAGGTACAGATACATGATTCAATATTGAAACGCTGAAAGTGAGGTGCTAGCCTAGTGTAATTACTATAATAAATCACTTCACTGGGTGTTATTTCTCTCTATAGCATGGATATGGTGTACGATCATTTACTGCTCCAGCAGACAGTTTAGAGCAAGCGTTGTTAGCTTGTGGTATCAATAATGAAGGATACACAATCACAAACAGATTAAATGATCTTGCAAGACAACGTTCAAGACATGTTGCAAACTCGAAATTTTATACGAAAGGTAAATTACTGTCTTTTGCTGCTGTAATTTGCAACAGTTGAAACACTGCCTCACATTCAATGTTTGTAAGACTCGCAAGCTACTGAGTGAGATCATTAAAACCTGGCAAATGTTCTGGATAAAAAAAAACGTGTGTATGGGCAATGTTTCTTCAGCGACCGTTCATCTTTTAGAAAGCATTCCAGTCAACTTTAGAAATACCAAACCAAATGCATCTTGTTCAATTTTCCAAACACTCCATTTTCTGACCTTTCTTAAAGCTGGCAATCAGGAGAAAAAATGGCGACCTGACGAGGCAAGACAGAAAGCACGCCGGGAAGAAACTGAAAACGACGTCAACGTTCCTGAAAATGACGTCACCTTATCAGAAAATGACGTCAGCTTTTCAGAAAATGACGTCATTCGTAGTGAATCACCAAAAGGTAGTTAGATCATATTTACTGTTGAAATTTCATTTTAGTATTTGATCAATTTTTGTTAAGATTATTGCCGTTAAGGCTATAGTAATCTCACATGAGTGATTATTTTAGGGGCTTTAAGTGATTCTTGTCCAGTGCCTATGAATGATACGCCACTGGGTCAGGTGACTGGTGATGACGATGATGGCGATGGTTTGATGATGACCAAGGAAACATCCAACGAAGTGAAAGGTTATTAGCGCCAATCAAGATTCACGAATGTTTATTGTTTTATTTCTTGACTATTTTTTTGTTGCAGGTTTTACAACGGAGGAGTCGGCCATTCCAAACAGTGTAAAAGTTTCTGATGTTGCTCCACCTCTTCCTAAGGTAGCAAGATCTTTTCATGACTTTCGCTAATGTTTAGAAATAATGTTCAAAATGATTTCTTATCTAGAGTCTTCTTGTTCGCCCTGCAGAGTTTAAACCAAGCAGGTATTTGAAAATTATAAATTCTTGCATCAAATTGTTTTTATTTTATTCCTTACAGTTTGTAAAATTTGTTCGTTTTTTAAGGATGTATTTCCAGACTTTGATTAAGTCGCTGGACTGTAGCCATGACGATCGTGAAGCATTATTTACATTGTGCTTGTTTCATTCTCTGATCAAAAATCAAGGTGAGATAATATTATATGTTATATTATATGTCGATGTTTGTAATGTAGAAATTGTGCATAAAATTATCTCACAACAAATGTATGTCTGACCTGGAACAGATTTTAACGTTTGGACATTACGCCGTTTGTTTATCCCCCGTTGGTCACTGAGAACGTCCTGTGCAACCTCACAGGCCAGACCCTCCAGCTAGGTTGCTTCCTATGGTGTTTCAACATAAATCAAACCACAGCAGCTTAATGTAGAATACTATATCTACACTATTGTCTTTTATGTTTTATTCAGGTGTAGATCCTGATCTCTTACGATATATTGGTCTGTTCCCAAGCCAAGTTAGTAACCATCGATTGTCTGTTTTTCTGCTTTTACTCTTTGATGATCTTGATATATTTCATGTTTTAGCAATCAGATAATTATAACGATGATCTAATTCAAGCTTTAATTAAAATCATGGAACAAGCTTCAAAACATGGTAAATATCTGACAGTTGGAGATGCATGCCGTTGCCTGAACTGTCATATTTTTGTTGTGTTTGACAAGTGTTTAATATCCATTATGTTTGCCTCGTTAGTCACATTTTCCGTCGAGATCATTCATTTGGTTTATTTTCTTTAGTGAATAAAGTACGTTTGGTGACTCTACAAATGAGCGTAATTTTACTCAAGCAACTTGTGTATAATGGTCATCCAGGTCAATCAGTTTTAAAAGACGTTCATCTCGCCTTGCTGGAGGTAAGTGACGTCTTTTCTTGAACTGAAAATAGTCTGTGTCATAATTGACTTTTGGATATTATTTCCAGAATGTCCGTGAGTCTTGCACGTTGGAACTACGTAATTACTACAAGGTCAGTTCACTAAATTGTCATATATTTAGTATGTGTATATAATTCAGTGTTATTTTGTCACGATTCAGTCATCTTATTTTTCACATTTTGAAATGTGTCTTCAGAGTGATGATATATTTTTGGACATGTTTGAAGCAGAGTATAGGCAGATGAAGGTCAGTGTTGATTCTCTTTTACTTCGTTACGGAGTTTCAGTAATCTGACGTTGTTAGGTATAACGAATTGCAGCACCTATATCTCAATTTATTTGCCATAAAATAGAAGACCACTACACAGAATGAAAAAAGTTATCACTATTTTTTCTCACTCTGGTGACTGCATGTTTACTGCCATTTGCTGCACGACGATGTCGATGGTGCTTAATAAAACCCATCTTTTTTGTGATTATGTATGGAACTATATTCCTAATATTTCAGGTGAAACCTTTGAACGTGGAACATCTAATGATGGATGCCTCCTTACTCCTTCCAGTAACTGCCACTCCTCTGACTGGTATCGAGTTCTCTAAACGACTGGCGTGTGGCGAAGTGGAACATACTCAGAGGGTAAGAACATATTTACTGTTTCTTATTACAAACCAATCATTGTCTTGTGTATACAGAACAAGTGGTCTAAGCACAGCAGATGGTGGTCAACTTGTAGTTAGAAAGGTAAAATAGAGAGATTGATATATGGGCACTGCAGATGGAAACCGTCGAGTGGAAATTTATATACATTTCGTAGACCTAAACAGGAACAGAAGCGAAAAATGTAACTTTAGGTCCCAGGGAGGAATCGAACCTGTGGCCCTGCGATTCCGGTGCAACGCTCCAAGCCTCCAACTGAGCCACAGAGGCTGCCTCCTCCGCAGGCCCTCGTTGCGTCATGGGAAGGTCACGATCTGGCGAGGGCCTGCGGAATCTTGTAAAAAAAATGGCGCCGGCGTCACGTCAGCAAGTAAATTTCTACATAATCTTGAATGTAAACAAGATATAAAAAAGCGGCGTGAAACTTGTAAATTAAACTGGCGACTCTTAGGACGTGGAAGGAAGCATTTTTTAACGATAAGGTTTGTTGTCCACACCAACGTTGCAAGAATAAAACTGCCTTCTTTAACGAAGCAGGTTCAAAACAACATTTATTCATTTTACAAGATTCCGCAGGCCCTCTCGAAATCGTGACCTTCCCATGACACAACGAGGGCCTGCGGAGGAGGCAGCCACAGAGGCCAGTTGTCGAGCTAGATCTAATCACAAGTTCATGTATATATAGTAGGGGCGCTTTCCATTACAGGTAAACTACGTGAAGCGTTCCTCTTTTGAGTTCCTAACTCATTCGGAATTTTCATAATCAGCTTTGCAAATTTGAAAAACTCTTTGCAAATCCTTGAGGGAATTTGCAATTTTCCTGTCGGCCGTTGCAATATTCCGACGCAAAGAAAGTTCCTTTCAAATTTTCCCAACTTCCTGTTTTAATTTCCTGACTTCCTGTTCTGTTCTGAGCGTTTTCATTGGCGGATTATTTTTGTTAGCCAATTACAACGCGCAGAACAGAACAGGAAGTTAGGAACTTGTAACAGGAAGTTAAGAACTTCTAATAGGAACTGAGGAAAATTTATTTGGCTCTTAAGAACATTGCAAATTCCCTCAAGGGATTTGCAAGGGAGTTTTTCAAATTTGCTAAGGTAATGAGGAAAATTGCAATCAAGTTAGGAACTTCAAAGAGGAACGCTTCACGTAGTTTACCTGTAACACGGCCAGAACGGTCAAATTGTTTGAATGAAACACAAAACATTTGGGCTTCGGACCTATCTGACCAGAAGTTTTAGATAACATTAGAATGAAGTCCATTTTCGCTAGATATTTGAGAAACATACACCAGATCTTTCCATTGACACAGAGAAAAGAACTCTGGTCTGACCGGTCAGGCCATTAAATGGAAAGCGCCCTAGGGTACTGCCATGTATAGGGTAAATATCACCTAAAGTGGCATTTTGTGCTTCTGTTCCTGGTTAGATCTAAGAAATGAACATAAATTACTCGACGGTTTCCATCTGCGGTGCCCATCAAATATTATTCATTCCAGCGAGATGCCACTAAAATCTTGAGATTGATTTATGAGCTCCCACGAGTGTGAACATTTCTGAAGTTGACCACTATCTACCGTCCAGTGACGCTTATTGAAAGTTCTCAGTGCAAAGATATGAACAATTCATTTGTGTTCTAGACAGTCCGTGTATTTCTCATGGTCCGAGAGTTGAGTCTAACAGTGCGTCGTGAACCTGAGCGTCAGTTACCTCTCTCAAAAGTTGAATATTCTGTTAAAGAAAACGAAGTTCTTGATTTGAGTATGTAGAAATCTGCTTCGTAAATATTGTCTAACGGTAAAATGTTGTTCTGTTGTTACAAACAATACACATTTATTTTCTAGATAACAGCGATCTCATATCTTGCACCGTGGTTGATGAAAATAGGTATGTATGTTTTTGTACTTGAGTTATTTGGTATTTAAAGTCGGGTGTCCATTTGTTCACAGCTGTCGTGACCAAATCATGGTTGCTGGCATTAAGTTTTCTGAATCTATGTTGTCATTGATGCACTGTATGAACTGTAGATCAATTTTTACTGATTGAAATCTATTACATTACATGCGAAATAGTCTGGATCTATCTTGATGTGGTTGCACCTTCATAGCCAAATGAAAACCAGACTAGAAATCATGTGAATAGTTTCTCATGTAGTTTTATGTATTCAGGACATTACGTCGTTTTCTGGTGATTGACGAAGCCCAGTTTATCTTGGTTGAGCCTGACACCACAAGATTAGGGTGGGGAGTTGTTAAGTTCGTTGCCTTGTTGCAGGTTAGTCCGAACTTCGCATTTTACTTTTCTACTTTAATACTGAACATATAGAGAAGCTGCTTGTCCATCTCATAAATATTTGTTAATGAGTGATTGGTAATAACTTTCTGCAAATTTCTCACATTGAAATGAAACGTTTCACCGATCGAGATAGGTGTAGTTCTTAATTTCTTAGAATGGTAACATCTGCTTTCTCGTAATTAGGACGTCGAAATATCTCCCGACAAATACGACAGTCGTTCATTATTTATAACGATCCATCAACCTTTCGCGAGGTCCACGCGTGGCCCACGCAGACCCTTGATGACTGCCAAGTTTATGTTTGATGATTACGTCCGCTGTATGTCTGCTAAACAACGTCTGCATCGCAGGCGCACTTCATTACGTCATATTAAACTTCAACGTATTGCGCAACTTTTGGAAGTACCAATCATGGCTAGTCCAGCTCCACACTTCTTTCCTATCACTCCCCCGTCTTTCTCGCAACCAAGTATTGCTAGTCCACAAGGTTTCAGAAGCCATCCGGGGGGAGCGGTTGCTGTTTCTGATATTAGTTTGGATAAATCACTTTCACATGAGAAAACAATAGATGAGTCTGCAAACATCGAGGTGTCAGCAGACACTGCCATGAAGGATCATCGTATGGCTGCTCCAGAGTCTTGTTTACACCCGTCCCAGACCTCTGGAGATCAAGCTCGTGCTCTTGCTAGCGTCCTTGATATCTCTGACCAGCGGAAAACTCCAGAAAGTGATGACGTCATTGAACTTGCGTCGGACGTTCTCGACACATCTTCGTGGAGTGACGGCATGTCTTCAGAACATTCTGGGGCCGCATTGTCTGATAGGAAGTATCCATCTGCACCCGCAACTCCCAGAGGACAGCGGCGTTTTGGGAACTCAGAATTTCATATTGTAGAATGGAGAGTTTCGGATTTGAATAGAAATAATTCCATGTCTGAACCGAGCTTGTTTCTACAAGCAAGTGAAGGGAATGACTTGCAGGAAGACAGTAAAACATCATAAATTTAATAAAGAAATATATTTATTCATACATTATACATAAAATGACTTTAATACGAAGATTAATGAGACGACGTTATATGTACTTGCGTAAAATATGCAATTTTGTTTTGAATAATTTGGAATATGAAATGTAGCAAAAAGACCTCTTCGTGTTTCAGCAAGCTGAACGAATTTTTAATAAAATATTTTAAATGTGATGTTAATGATGAAACTACAATGATTATGTTTATGACGTCACAAACACGCAGGCAAACCAGTAAAACAGTTCAACAATGTTTTTAATGACACAGTACAAATTTCATTGTACAGTTATTAATTTATTTACGTAAATAAATAATTTATGCATATATACAATAAGATATTTTATTTATATGATCATATAATTCATCTCTAGAATGTTCGTTCAGTTCACTTTGCCCAATTGAACGACGATATATTATCCTAATTACTTATCTAGTTCTAATTACTAATTAACGAAATCTAATTACCATATCTATTGTACGAAGCGAAATCGTCTGTGAGGTAAGCAAGCTCAGGTGTTTCCACCTAACAAAGCAATTCTAGTTATTTCATCGGGTATTATATTGAGTATGGATATTTCCTCATGAATTTCTCCACTGTGTTTGGCAAAGGTAGTTGCGATTGTTCGTCTTTAGTCAACGTTCTGTTCACTGCACGACGACATAGATGTTGTAATGTTGGAACTTTGTTAAAAAGTGGTTTCTCAAGTCTTATTTCAGCGTCTCCCACTTCTGATCTTGCCAATACTTTGCGTTTATCTTGTTTATCCTGACTCACAGCCGCGTAATAACATATTAACTTCACAACACAATCGAACTTTGGAATCTCACTGAGGCTCGTTTCAAAACAGTCGAACATGAACTTTCCATATGAAAATAACACTCTAATGTTGAGAATATTTGTCTGTAGTCTGACGGAAAGTGAGAAATAATAACGTGAGTCGGAGCTATCGCGTAATAAGAACGTTCCTACGTCAGCTTGTTCTAACGCTGAAGTTGCCTCTGTTTTGCTAATTCGTCCCCAGTACCAACCAGTGTTCTCAAGACGGTCCATTGATACTTGAAACAGAGTACTGATACATTCATGACTCGGGAGTCTGGAGTAATACACGCCTTTTGAATCTTTTCTTTTGCGATCTGAAAAAATAATAGAACTATATATTAGCCATAACATTTTAGCTTTATTTACTACGTACCAGCCATTATTAATAATAATGACAAGTTTTCTTGGTAAAAATGGTTGACAAAAAGAAAGTTCTCTCTTCAGCTGTAACTATACTGATCCTAGCGTTCCTTACATACATCTAACTTCCAGACCCTCAAACCTCACTACCTTCACTGCTCGGACATTTCCAAACATCGTGTGTTTAACACCATAACACTTCAATCAGTCTTGGAAACACATTCTAATATTGTGGTAAACTATTTACGTATTCATTTGGATTGTATGAGACCCAAATCATTTAGACTTGCCTTGCTCTTGCTCTGAAAACCATGCTAAATGTTCCTGTATTTGTGGTGGTTCGCCACACAAACGTTGGTTTCTACTGTATACCATGCTAGTGCTGCTGCTGATGGTACTACGTTCTCTATTGGCATTGACAACAACATTGATATATAAGTATGACCCTGGTTCCGCGAAATGTGCTGTACTTTTCCAAACAGCTGAGACATGATAAAGTGAACGACTTCCCGGTAATCACCCGTGGTTGTCATGGGAACTCTGTAGCGATCACGCATTCAAATGTTATATACTTAAGCTTCAGGATATTAAAGAGTCTTTGGTCACTGTTAGCTTCAGATGTAAATATTCCCGCATTTTAGTTTTTAAAACCAAAGTTTGGTTCGTTTAGTTCTTCCGGTCATAGATATATATAGTGATAGCGGAAATAGATTTATTTGAACGTTTTTATTTAATCTTCCTGTATATACTGGTCAAATAATAGATTCATTTGAACGTTTTTATTTAATCTTCCTGTATATACTGGTGAAATAAGACTGACGATGTCCTGATAATTGTGTTAATTCCAAGAATGAGGGCTTGTTTTTCACTCCTGGCCCTGAAACGCCAAGGTTATGTTTATAGAAACGAAATCGAAACAAAAAATAAATACGTCATGCAGTCATTAGAACTTCCCTTCTTTTATAATAAAAATAATTAAATATATTTTCAATTATTGTGTACTATTGAACATTACGCCATAGAGCACAACACATAAGAATATATTGAAAATGACATTCACAGAACATCGGTATTAATATGGTTGTATGACCTTCACACGCCAGCTGTCGTTGGGGGTTTTCCCAGAAAACTATTAGCGCGAGGGTCTGCGTGCGATATTGCATGATTAGCGGGAATTTTCTGGAATTCTAACACTCGTGTCTTATGACATGACTGTTTCCTGTGCAACTATCATTGCAAATCAAGTCGTAAAGATGGAATACAGAGAGGACGATAAGATATTCAACATTAATACCCACGTAACCTAACACCCACACCAGTTGATAAAAATACTTTTTCATATTTTGTCTTGTAGACAGTTGCGGAATTAACTAAAATTGAGGGTAATTTTAATATTTCTAAACAAAGCAACGTTTTAATGGGTCAAGCGTATGAAAGGCTTCTTTGAGACCTTCAGCGGGAAAATTACTCCAATTTGTCCTCTTCCTATGACGACAGATTCAATACCTTAAAAAATACATCGACTGCTATACGCACGCTAATGTCACTCCTATAGTCCCCCGTTTAACTCGATATATCATTGGATGCGACTGTCAGCTAAAATAAGTATAGTATAAGATGACAAAGAGAGCTTTTGGTGATATTAACCAGAGAAAGATCTCATATACCCAAGCTGGACTGTGGTTCTACATAGTTTTAATACTCTTATTATACAATGCCAATGAATACACTTCTCTAGACTAGACATTTTTCTACATGAGAAACAATCCTTCACTATATTATTTAGTTTACTGACTCGAACTGTATAACGTATTTAACCTATTGGCTATCCCAAGTCTATATACTTATTATACTAGAATAGAATAATTTAACATCCTTTTCATTACCTGTATTTTCTCTTATCGTATTGCAATGTAAATCTGCTGACAGTGAAATATCTTGACAAACCATTTCTTCTGCTGTGTTCTTGACCGTATTCTCAAACTGTGACTTACTAAAACTGGTCTTCTATTATTGCTTTCCCAAGAATTCTCTTTCGTTATAAGTCATTATCATTTTCGCTTCAATCTTTCTGATAACTCGCCTTCCCGGAAAACTAAAGCAATTCCAAGTATATAGCTATTGTTTAAACCGCGTGCAATATGACACTGTCAACACCTGCCTTATCTTTCCCTATAAATTTTATTATGAATCGGCGAAAATTCGTCCTCTTTTACAACGTTGCGAAATTATTAATTCCAGAAAAAAATTGTGAATTTACGTCAATCGTTGCGAAAACCGGAAACCGCTTTCAAAATAAAACAGTTTAATTTAAATCATAAATGTAAATGAGATGAATTAATTCGTTTGTATTAAAGAGAAACTGGACGTTTTACGAGGAATTGAGAGTGAAATTGAAGTTGGTTAAATGACGTGTTTCATTGTTCTGTATTTTACGTCGCTTCTCTTACAGACATGATGTTAGACATGACTTTAATCTTTATGGAACGTAACCAAATCAATGAGAGTTTTAGTGTCAATACTCCCACGTTTGAACATATTTCAAATTACTCCGCGATATTTGAACACAGGTAGTTGTCTGTCGTCATAGATTCTCACTAGCCCCAAAATACAAGATTACGGAACAGCGGACAACTTCGAGACCTTCGGAAATGTTGAATGCTGATTAGGAACGAGAAATTATTTATATAAGGTCATATAAACTCTGCATTCAATAGACTGATAGCCTGCTCGCAGTCTCTGACCACTAAATGCCAGACATATAATGAAAAGAATTAATCCATTATTGCGGAACTTTGTGTGATCTGTGCGAGTTCCACAGAATGCAAGCCTCGCTCAATCGAGGATGAGAGTTGATGAAAGTTGGCTTCAAGTTCTAGATTAACGGAATAAAGATTTGATGATAATGTTCGGAAAGTATTAACAGCCAACCAACTCCGTCTCGTACATAGTGATTATAAATAAGACAAATAACACTAGAGCAGTAGAGGGGACATCGTAATCTTAATTCAGTCAAAGAAAGGGAACGCGGCTATTGGGGGGGGGGGGGGGGGGGGAGCTAAAAAATAAAATGCTAAAATATTAAAGAGTGAGTTTGAGCCAAAATCTCTAAATTCTCTTTCTTGATTCTATGGGTGGGTAGTCCCGTTTTGATTTTTGCCATACATTTTTACCTCGGTTTTGTCTATATCATATTTTTGAGAGCGCTTCAAAATAATGCTGAGTTAATCGTTTGAATTCAATGCAAACACCTGGTTTAAAAACCCATAAAACACCCAGTTTTGTGACCCTTGTTTTAATTTTTTCTGGTTTCAAGTGCAACCCAAGAATTGTGCGGTGTTCATCCGGGAATTCAATTTCCCCCCATTCGCCGCGCTCCCAAATTTCACCCTCGATGCCCCCCCCCCCTCTAATGTTACTTATAAGCTTCATCCCTGGAAAAAATAATGTTGAGATCAGTGCCCAATCAGTGCCTTGTGCCCATAGATATAGGAGACCTAGATTGCTGACTCGGCTGAAAAGGCGCGCCAAATTTGAAAATCCAAGATGGCGGCTCAACCGGTCAAAAATCATAGAGCGAGATAGGGAAAAACCATGTTTTTTGCATTTTATGTCGTCCTACTGTTTCCGATTCCGTTGAACCACCTTTTTTTTGGAAGAACTAACTGGTGTGAAAGTTTTGGATGTATATTTGTTATAATTAGTACGTTTTACAGTTTAAAATTCAACCGGGCAAGAATGGGCAAAGACGAAAATGGCGCGAAACTGCCGGCCTGGTTTCTTATCCTGTGCATTCCTTCAGTCTTTTACCAGTTTTTCTAAAGTGATGTAACATATATCTGATTATTCCAAAAGTTACTATTATTTATTTTGTTCTTTCATTGTTATTTCGACGAAAATACAGTATTTTCATCTGAAAATTCTAGGGCATTCTATTCTTAAAAATTTGTTTTTCTATCGAAAAGAATGCCTTGAATCTTGGCCTGTTTTGTGTGCTGAGTGTAACTGCAAGGCCAGACGTGGGGATTTAAAAGATGGTATTTGCCTGCCCTTCCATAAGTAAGTCTATGAAACACACATCGTATATTTGTACACTATAACATACTTCATATAAACAGAATAGTACAAGACTATTAAAATAAGACAGCTTTTAATAGCATAAAAACAATTTGTTTTGTAAATACAATAATGACACCAAATGTAGTTTTGAGCTTGTTGCCTACAATATAAAACTGTTTACAGTTTTAGTAAAAGAACATTAGATCAAAAGAACTTCTTGTTTTGATGTCTGTGTTAGGAGTCTATATATATATATGCATGTTGACAATAACTTTCATAGAGGTCCTTGCCTGTTGAAGGTAAAAAAATTGAGTTTTGTTGTTCACATCAGTGAACCAAAAATACATATTTCCCTTCACACTATTTAGATTTCCTATAACCAATCCCAACCGGCTAAAAAGTTGGATAACAGCAATGAAATGGGCAGACTGGATGCCAACCAAATATTCAGTATTGTGTGAGAAACAACTTACACCCAACAACTATATTAACCCATTAAGTCGCATTATGCCCTGATGTGCCCTACTTTATTATTTTATTTTGTCTAACAGCATTACGGCAGTTGATTTTACTTGTCAAGGGGAGAGTGTTGGTACTTAATGGGTTAACTGGCCATGGGTCTGGTTAATCCATTGAGTTGCACCCTACTTTATTATTTTACTCTAACACCAGATAATTTTACTTGTCAAGGGGAGAGTGCTTACTGCTGGGTTAGTAAGGGAAAGCAATTAATAAAAGGCCAATCCAAGAAATAGCTGAAAGAATATGCTGTCCCATCTATTTTTGATTTTTATCAGTGATGAATCAATCAGGTTTCTTGGAGAGAACTATAGATATACTGTGAAGGTTTTTTTGATGCATACTAGACAAATTAGCCAGTTTCTTCAAAATAGTTTCCATTGAAAACTTTTGCTGTCACTAGTTCTCTAAAATCCTGTTTGATTCATCACATTTCACTGTCCAGGCCATATAGACTTGAGATCCCTTGACATCTGCAGCAGCAAGGTCATCAAAGTCACACTAAAACACTTGTAAACAGAGCATCATAGTTTTCGCACCAGCACACCAGGTAAATCAAGCAAAATAGGTTTTAAACGTCAAAATACTCCACAATATTATTCCCTGTTATATATCCCAACCGAGATCCTCGAGAAAAAAAGCACCCAAAGAACCAAAACCTTTAATTTCTGCAATAAAATGTCTCGAACTGCTCAACCGACCATGTGATGATTTTCAGAAAACATTTAGCGATCGATTATTTCGTCTTTATTCAACTTAAATTGTACAAATATTCATCCAAAACCTTCACACCAGTTAGTTCTCCCAAAAAAAGGTGGCTCAACGGGATCGGAAACAGTAGGCAGGCGTAAAATGCGAAAAACATGGTTTTTCCCTATCTCGCTCTATGATTTTTGACCGGTTGAGCCGCCATTTTGAATGCTCATGTTGGCGCGTCGCGTGCGTAATAGAATACATTACAGTCAGCAATCTAGTTCTCCTATAGCCTGCTCACAGGCTCTTTTATATAGGGTGAAGGCTATTTCAGATACGGTAGAGCACCTAGTCCCCAGGCCTTTACCGGCGCGACCGCGAAATTCAATATGGCGCCAAGCTAAGGAGTGGAGTTTAAATGGAGTTTATATTCTATAATTTCTATTGTTGTTTTTTGATCTTTTTATTCTTTTTGGTTGGTAGAACTTATATTCTGATATGCCAGGTATCTTACTCTTTACCTGATTAATCTGAAAAAAGATTTTATAACAGAATTTTTCTCAAACTTAAATTATAAATATCTATATGTTTCAGTGAATTATGCTTTAAAAGTAAAAAATAGATTGGCCAAGATAAGAAATTTTTGACACTTTCAACTTCAATTTTGAAAATTGTAATAACAACCTAGTTTATATTCCATAATCCACAGAGCTTGAAAATCCATGCGGAATGTACAAATTATTGACTTTTCGAGTGAAGTTCTGTTTGAATTTTTCAGGTACTAAGTTATATCTAGTTATTTTGTTATCGTCTCTATCTAGCCTGGCACAGACCATTCAAGATTGCACTGTTTAATTAGCACCAACACTAACAGTCATGGTGGCAGGGATGGAGGGTTGATCTGCCAGCTCTAATGCCGAGTTATGTGGTCATGCATGCCACCCGCCCATCAACTTACAGGTCAAGTCTTGCTTGACTACTGTATTTGAATTGTAATTGTTGTTCACAGTTTGCTTCTTATCATGTTATCGATATCACTCAAATTACTGTATCTCATTTTGTCTCTATAATATTTTTTTGTTTTATCATGAAAAATAGCACTCCCCCCCCCTGGCCAGGGCTAGGGAGGTGCACCCCCCCCCCAGTAAATCCATCCCAACATACAGTTGGGTTTATAGGGGGAGGGGAGGGGGGTTGACAGAGGTACACACCCTTGGCCAACAGGGGAGTGTAAAAATCTAAAGGGGGGGGTGCACTTCAAATTTAATTTACCATACATCTGAGCATTTGAGATATTGTATATAATTAGTATTACAAATATATTGCCACCTTGTAACCTTAGATATTTCATGTGGTATGTGTAATTGGGGTTAGTATGCTAAGTATCTTACTCGTCAAGCAATGCCGGGTTCAGAGTCCTCACTTGTTCGCTTAGCAATCAACAATATACAATTTTAATGCCAAATTGTGTGCCAACATGCAAAATGGACTCTGCACAGGTTGTGCACTACCTTTTCATTTCATGCTGGGTGAACATTATCGTGAGGATAGCAAAAAAAAACATATTCACAACTAATGTGTCCTCTTTTACTACTTTTGTAATTATCTTGTTCCATGACCTAAATAAGCTAACACACTTAGTAGCTCATGCTTACCTTTCAACTGGCACATTAGCAATGGCCGGTCCATTTTTCTTTATAGTGGTGTCAGGTGTGCAAGTTATTCAATAGGGTACTAACCTTGTATACAGGGCGTTATAGAATTAAAAAAATCTGGGCAGGATGTTACAAGGCCATCGGAAGTAAATCAATATTGGGGGGACTCAAGAATATATCTGAATAAATTTTAATTGCTTTTGCACTTTTCTAGTTATTTTGTGTGTTTTGTTTATACAAATGGAAATTTTAGGGGGGCTCAAGCCCCCCACTTCTGATGGCCTTGTGTTACATGTGACATTGCCAGCTACCATTAATAGTTTGCAGAATTGTGAAAAATAAATCAATGCTGTAGATTGCAAGTGGTAATGCACTTTCTCCATTGGTATTATAGACATAATACACATAAAATTCCACAAGACCAATTAACTTGGTAACCCTGAGTATTCCATACTCATTGGGAAATCAGTCAGATGCAATTGTACCCACCCTCTGGTCAACCCTTGCCACTAGACGTTTCAGTACCTTTGCCCTGCATACCATGGTTTATGAACTCAACATTTTATGATTGACTTAGCTCTTCTACTATGATAT